GTGCTTGACCACCGAGAGCAAAAGCTTCGGTGGCGCCTTAAAGAGCTCGATAGCTCATCGCGTCAGGGGTGTCATTAAGGAATGGCCGTGCGGGCGAATGACATGGCAATTTGTCGCAGTGCTTCGTTGACTTCAAATACTTCAGTGCCGTAAATTTCAACTACGTTATCCGTGGGTGAAGTCGCTCCTTGAGGCCAATAACCAGTGGTCCAGTTAGAGGGTATCTCTCGCGCATCCATCTCATACTGTAAAGCTACAGATACAGCGTATCGAGCGAAGGTCACAGACTTGAAGAGTGTCAGTACAAAGTCTGTAGGGGCATGCATTTGATACTTACACCAATAGTAGCCACCTTGGGAGAAACGCCTGCAATACCCGCAATCAGAAAGTAAGTTTTGGTCAAATCGAATAGTGGTGAATAAGCTATCGAATTAATTGTCACAGCCGCGTTAATTTCTAAACTAGTTAGCAGGACTAAAGCAAACCATCTTCACTCAAAAAGAAAGAAAACAAGCTTCTTACCTCCCTCGCCAGTTATAACTTGGCAAATTTCTCCGTCCGCTGTACAATGCACCTGCGGGAAAAGCGGAGAAATCCCAGGAACGGTGATATTTCGAGCCAGAATATCGAATTCTGGAATTCCATACCATGCTTCTCCTTCATCTGAAAACTATATTTTGATGTCAACGACAATGGACAATGAATTGAGGCTTAAACAATGGTGAGATTACTTACCATATCTACGATGAAAACTTTTGGGGTGATGAGTTCGGAATTTGAGCCACTTGCAGATTTTACATGGAGTTGCGAAGAAATATCTCGAGTTTGTGAAGCTGCGGTGAGGGAATTTAGACACAGCGCTGTGAGGAGAACGGGGAGATGCATATTGGATTCGAATGATTCATGCAAGAAAGCGTAGGTTTTGGAAGATTGAGAGAAAGAGATGGATAGTATACGATGGGAAATTTCTTGGATTTGGGGAAATATATAGCAATGGCAACGTTACTACTATTTGTAGATTTCCTGACGCCTTTCTTTTAGTTTAAGATGTCATTATTAATAAGTGGATATGGATGAATGGATATGCTGATTGATGAAAACATATTAGCTTTTTTGTACTTCGTATCTGGGTTTAGTGGGGTTGGTGTGTGCTTATCTGTAGATTTGACAGGGGTCTTTGTTCGTTTAGATATGATAATAAGATCTGGTGGATGTGGATGTGATATTTGAGTGACTAAGATTAATAGATTGGGGATACTTGAAGTGGAAGATGATGTAATGAAAATTATTTATTGATTTTATAATATTAGATCAGAGGAAATTTGTAGATTAAATAAATAAATATTATTATTTGAAAGGGATATAATTTGTGTATTATAAATTTAATAAATGAAAACTATTATTAATCTTATTAATTATAGTAATTTATAAAATTAAAAATATTATTATAATGAAAATTGTTAAAAGGAATAGAAGTTACCGGTACTAATCACGTGTCGTGATTAGTAATACGGTTACCTAAACAGGCTAGATTAGATGAACCATAAGCAGGCATATTGGTCCCCTCCGAGGATACCAAGAGGAGATCTTAATATGCCTACAGACGTAGTAATATAGTCAATATAGAGGCCTCTTCCACCCAATCTTTTAATAAAAATTGTTAAAAGGAATGATCTTATATAGGGAATAGTGGGAAGCTGATAGGGCAGAACTGAGGCTATATTGGTCTAGTATATTAATCACTCACTTGTTACGAGGGTGTTACGAGGTTTGCCGTCTAGATCACGTGGAAGTGCTCTAGGCTCTCGAAGTAGGTTTATAACTAGGCGTCAAGCAGGGACTTAAAGTAATGACAATAATGCAATTCATAACTAATAGTAGAGTATACTAAATGATTGATCTTGAGCACGAAGCTCTATACAAAGGAAATCCATCTTGATTATATAGACCTTCGTGTTCTGGCTCTAGAGGCTGTCACACTCAAGAATACTGGGTAAAGTATCTTGTATTAGAAAATACTAAGCTAAGGAGAAAAGAAGAAGGAAAACAAGAGTAGAGAGTTTTCCTATGATTAAATACAAACGGGGCATGCCACGTGACCCGGAGGTGTGAGGCGTCACAGAGGCTCTAACTAGATTGATTAGAGCCGGTCACATGATAGCTCTGATCCTGTGATTAGTCATGTGATACGGAAATATGTTACCCGTCGTAATAACTTGTTTTATATAGAGAAAAGTTTAAAAAACTATTATACAAACAAAATTATATATTTTTTCAATTTTGGATATATATAACTTTTTAACAAAAATATCGAAAAACAAAATATATAATGTTTTAGATGTTACGACGGCTTCGGATCTCGTATCATGTGACCAATTATGTAATCACATGGTTCCTTCGATCCCCTCGGTCTCTTGATCGAAGGGACCGAGGGGACTAAGAGGACGATTAGCATGAAGGTCTATATAACCAAGATGGATTTCCTTTGTATAGAGCTTCGTGCTCAAGATCAATCATTTAGTATACTCTACTATTAGTTATGAATTGCATTATTGTCATTACTTTAAGTCCCTGTTTGACACCTAGTTATAAACTACCTCAAAAGTCTAGAGCACTTCCACATGATCTAGACGGCAAACTTCGTAACATTAGAATATCTTAATAATTGATTATGATATTTAAAAATTTCAAAAAATTTCATTCAATAGTGAAAACTTTATTCAATGTTTTATTTTATATAAGAAAGTATAGTTTTTGTAGGGATTTTGTTATGAATTCGAATGATGTATAGTGAGTGATGGCCGAAACTTTTATATTTTGCTTTGTAGTGAGATGAATTATTTCTAATTATGAGTATTGATCTCGGAATTTAAACTACAAAATTTGAGCTTTGAGACGGAGTATTGTTGGCTACGTGTTTAGATTTATTACGAAACGAAAGATCTTTTTTGAATGATGTAGAGTGGTGAAATAACCCTTAGAACAATACATGCTATTAGATTACATCCATCTAATCATGGCTTTTGGGCTATCATATATTGTATCAATGGTAGTAAATCTCTCACTCTTCATGTGGATTTTAATTTGCTATCCGTCGAATGATTCTAATAACTTTATGTTGTCTGTCAAGTTATGCCCGCTATGTCAAATCTATAATGTTAGAACGACGTGATGGGAGGGTGCAATTTGTGAATAAAGTTCAAGATGCGACTGCGATTTGATAAGACCTTATGGAATTTCGGGTCTACATTTCTAACTTCTTAAGCAGCCTTTTCGATCCAATATCCAGCAAGATGAATTAGGGCATGTATTCCCAGGTCGCCTCTCTGCTTCAGCCAAGGAAATAAAAGAAATCAAGGATATTTATTCCAACTCAAGAAATTTCAGACCCTTAAACCTTCTGTCCGAGTGCATAGATCTCATTTTTAGTCCTTCTACCTTTCATAATGTTCTCAATCTGGATATAGAAATTTCTTGCCTGCGCTATGAACAATAAAGGAAATATCATAATATTTCGCTACATAGTTCATAAAAGCCACACAGTAATCACAAGGAATATTACTCACAACTATATGAAGTCCCTTATAACATTCTGGTGATATAATTTCGTTGTTTCTCTTATCCCAGCTAATTCCTTCAGGCAGGGAACGACCTATTAAGGCATGCCTATAAAGACAGTAGGCGATGAGTTGTTTTTCGACATGGCATACGGAATAACTACCAGGACTTTCCTTTCCGTCGTGTTCATGCTTTGGCAAATTGTAGCCAATGACGCCACACATTTCCTGCACTCTCTCGGTCCATATTTTGCTCGGTATAAATGAATTTAGACATTCGGTTTCTGACAATAGCCGACCCCAACCACTGATAGCACTGATCGGTTCAAACCTATCGACCACCAGCGGAATTGGTGTGTATAAGCGTCCTAGATAAAAAAAAAAACATCAACACTATAGCGCTGGAATGAAACAGAATTAATAAGAACAAAACTCACCCACAGTCTTCTCATAAGAACTTCCATTGAACCTTTGCAGCGAGAATGTATGCACGCTCTCAAATAACTCGATATTGTAATACAGAATTCGTCCCGGTCGCGAATCTGCTACGATTTCAAACAAAGTTGATCAATTGCTTGCATGCTGGGTAGGCTTTTCGTCAATATCGACTTTTTGAAAAGGGGCTCGTTCACCAGAACACTTTGCACATAGTGTCGACGTATAAATTGCCGTGTCATCTATGGGACCATCTGTTGTCGTTCTAACCGAAGTGACAGACGTCTCAGTATGATTTCCCTTCGTATCATGCTGTACTGTTGCGAGCTCTTCTGTGATTTCGGGGAAAGCAAGTAAGTTTGCGCATCCAAAGAGATATGCTTCCATCAATGACAAGCGAACGATATCCCATTTCTTGATACTTGTGTTTCGATCATTAACTTCCTCTTCGAATTCTCCATGCGAAGCTTTCATAATCGAACTCTTCAACCTCCGCAGTGTGTCTTCTAGTGCTGCGAAACCATGTCGTATATTTAGCGAATAAAAGCGCTTCATGGTAGGGTCCGGCGTGTGTTTTAACCCTGCCAAGATTTCTTCAAATGTTATTTGCTCTCGGATGTTGCGAGCTTCGAAAATGATTGACATAGTATGTCAACTACGTCAGTCGTATCATTGATCTTCTCCGGGCTTCCCTTGTCATCGTGTTCTGGATGAAGGCTGCTCTGTGTACTTCTAACGGGACTAGATGTAACGATTCCGGGTATTTCATTATGAATTACGGCCTTTTTTCGATTATATTCCTCTTGTTGTTTCTTCTGGGTATTCTCAGCTGGACCTTGGGAGACATCAAAAGCTCCGGCTTCGTTTGGGTCACGCTTCAAAGAAAATAGCCCCGTCATTGTGAACCATATCATTAGTGAGAGTATTTTCTGGATTTTTATTGTCTTGGGACATTTTATATCTTTCAATCTTTATTCAAACCTCTATTCTCTGTGTGAACAAATCAACATGTTTCCCTGATTTCTCTCTTCCTTCACAGGAAATGTGCGGGCATCTGAGTCAGCTTCAGTCAGCCTCCTAATATTGCGGATGGTTACGCAGCATGGCATGTGTAATGTATCTAGATATATCTATGTACTTATGTAGAAGTATAAATTTTTATCTATCCTGAAGCATAAAAGTTAGAAAGTAAGTTACATGCTGAAGGACTTTGACCACTTACAATTTCTCGCTTAGAGACACAATTACACCAAGCTTCACATAACACAACAACAAAACACTAGATTCGAGAATCCCCTTTTTCAGCCCATTTTAGGCAGATTTTTCCAACTACTTTATCTGGTTCTCAACCGGTGCGACTGAGCTCATTTCCTGACTACCTGTGTCTTCTTTTCGTTCTTAGCCTCATCAAATCTGGTGCCGTCCTCGTGATTTAAGCGTCCAGTGGTTATGGTCTTCTTACCTGAAACGGTGCAACCAAACCATCGCTTTCAAAGCAAGCCTTTGTTTCTCCACTAGCTCTATTTACCATCATATTTACCTAGATCTTTCAGCCTCGTATTTGGAGCCCTGAAATTGTGAGGTCGCAATCAGATTCTTTACCCTTAACTACAGCTGACTATTGGACTCAGATTTCCTTCATAGATTCTGCATGCTCGCACAATGAAGTAATTTAATATATGGAGAAGTCCCCTGTTGGAAGTGTGTATTCTCTCATGGATAGATAATCACTGAAGAGTGGCTCTTCAACAGTGTTTTTGATTAATCTGTCCTTGAATTATGTCGAAGATTCATGTAAAACAGAGCTGTAAATATGAAGTTCAAACCATTTGAGATAGCTATGACGGTAATACTATGCTAAAGAAAAAACATGAATATCATTTTCCCACGAGTTCAACACTTCTTTCGCGCATGGTATCTCTTCAAAAGATTATCATAAACCCGAGCAGCTCTCTATTCACTACGACTCTCCAGTAATTTGTCAGCTTGCTATGTGTCAAATATATACTCAGGGCAAGTCCGGGACTCGACATGAAAGTGATCAGGGATGTCAGAGTACCTCTTGACACTTTCGATGAATTTCCTACAATCATCGCATATCTTTCGACTGGCGACTATAAGCGCGCCTCGTGGAGCCGAGTGTTTGATTTTTCGGTAAGGAAATGCATACGGTGATTCTATGTTGACTTGATATTTTTCGAATGTATTCTCGTAAAGATACCAAGCTATCAGTTGCTTTTCTGCATGGCATGCATGGTACCTGCCTAAGAATCCATTTTCTAATGTCTCGCTACAATCAGGCAAGACGTAGCTGATTATCCTGCAAATCTCCTCTCCTTATAACGTCCATAAGATTGTCCAAAATAGTGTTGTATTTCGCATAATTAGGGGAGATTCCAACCATGAACTGCAGTGCATCTATAAAGACTATTCATACTGAGACATGCTTAGGCAGATTTCAGTGATATATAATTAACAGCTAAAACTACATATATTGGGTTTCTTGAGACCAGAAAGAGCATCAGATTGAATTGATTGATTCTCTAGCTAAGCAGTTAAGCTGCGAGTATATATTCAAAAAATGAAGGAATAAGGTTAGGTATTCAGCCTTCGGAATTAAAGTGCTTTGAAATCAAAATATTGAAAGCAAACAAACAGTATACCAAAAAGGAAAGAATGAATTAAAAGTTGAGTTTTGTTTGCTCCTGATATGCATCATGCAATATATATGCATATGCTGCCAAGATCCCAGGAGGTCAACAACATAGTAAAGTCTCACTTCCTGAATTAATTTATGAAAGCCATTAATCTATTACTACTTTCTCTCTTGGAACTAGCCAGCGTGACTGATCGGGATTGGAAGATTCTAAATTATTGATATCGATATCGTGCGAAGTCTTGAGACTCGTCTTTTCAAGTGTATAAATGTATGAATCAAAAAATCAATAATATCACTAATAGTCGGCCTTTCAAGCAGCCGACTGTTATCAGCAAATGAATTGAGGGAGCTCAAGAGGATGATAGAATCCAAAAGTCTTGGTATCAATATTGATAAAACCACCAGGAGTATGTAGGGACGACAGAGTCTTCGACTTCAGTATAGGCATTGTAACACCGGCTTTCTGTTCTTTTTTCCAAATATATACTAGAATTTTCATTCATCTCAATCTCTGCATTATTAAATGTAAAACCTTCGGTTATAACATCTCTTACCTGTATAAAGATATTATATAATTAATTTTTATAATTAATATTTTATTCTTTTGATTTTTTCTCTTTTATTTATTTTATTATATATTTGATTAATCTTATTTAATTAATTATTAAATATAAAACACTTTCAATAAAATAATCAAAATAAGATTTAATTTAAAAAAAAAAGCTCTATCTCAATGTTACGAGGTTTGCCGTCTAGATCATGTGGAAGTGCTCTAGGCTCTTGAGATGGTTTATAACTAGATATCAAACAGGGACTTAAGTAATGACAATAATAATATGTAATTTGTAACTAATAGTAGAGTATACTAAATGATTAATTTTGAGCACGAAGCTCTATACAAAGGAAATCCATACTGAATATATAGATATTCATACTCCCTTGGATCCTTTTGGATCCTCAAGCTCCAAAAGCTCCAAGTCATATGTTTTCTGACAGTGCGTGCGCATACGATCCTAAAGTGACCCAGATCACATATTAATTCGATGAAATCTGATCGCTTTTGCACAAGGCCCAAGCTCTCCTAATTAGTCAGTTGTTACTATCGTGTTACGCCGGGTAACAAGAAGACGCTCACGTGTTACCAATATCATGTGACTGACTCAGTGAGGATCAGCAAGCTCAGTACTGAGCCATACTGATCCTATTGATCAGCTAGAACACGAAGGTCTATATAATCAAGATGGATTTCCTTTGTATAGAGCTTCGTGCTCAAGATCAATCATTTAGTATACTCTACTATTAGTTACGAATTGCATATCATTATTGTCATTACTTAAGTCCCTGCTTGACGCCTAGTTATAAACCACCTCGAGAGCCTGGAGCACTTCCACATGATCTAGACGGCAAACCTCGTAACATATCGTAACACTCAAGAGTATTTTCCTTTTTAAAATCAGAGATAGACTTATATACTTGTTCATCGTTTGGTTTCTTTTTTTACTTCAAAATTTCAATTCAAAATATTACTGAAATCTATTTTTATAAATATATTATAGAAAATTCCTTGATTATTTTTTAATCTCAATATTAAATATTTCAAATCTTTTTTTATTATTTATTATCTATAAACTTCTCTCAGTTAATTAATTTAATAATTGATTCTTATTACAAATTGTTACGACAGGTAACAATTAGGTCACGGGATTAGTAATAACACGTGATGCGAGGACTCGAAGAGAGCGAAAGGATCGAAGCTCGATCCCCTCGCTCCCTTCGAGCCACGAAGCATGAAGGTCTATATAATCAAGATGGATTTCCTCTGTATAGAGCTTCGTGCTCAAGATCAATCATTTAGTATACTCTACTATTAGTTACGAATTACATATCATTATTGTCATTATTTAAGTCCCTGCTTGACGCCTAGTTATAAACCACTTCGAGAGCCTAGAGCACTTCCACGTGATCTAGACGGCAAACCTCGTAACAAGAAGCAAATTTCATTTTGGGTATAATCGTCCACTTTCATCCATCCATCCATCATTCCCCTCATCATTCCCATCTCACTTTCCCCATAATTTATTGTTCATCCCCACCTCCCCGTCCATCCATTCATATTCATCCTGAGCAGCTCATAATTATTCATTTCCCAATGCAAAACTCCATCCAAACGCCCTCTTCCCACAAATTTCATAACCATTATTTCCAATGTAAGACTTACATCGATGAAGTGAAGAAACCATTGGTATCATCAAGTCACAACGTATGTAACCTTATGAATACAAACAAATAAGCCGAGCAGAGCAGCTCAGCTCAGCCCAATGCAGAAATCTAAACAGCAACTTCCATAGCAGGATCATGATGACTGTTATTCTTGCTGCTTCGAGAAACATGCAATGCAGCCATAATAGTAGTAGCCAAGAACAACAACCTAAAACACAGAAATTAGTCCTCAAAACTCTTGCACCCAAAAAAGCATAAAAATAATACATACCACAAGAAAGCAGCAAAAACATCCCCCGCAATACTCGCCTGACAAACACTCCACTGACTATGACCACAACCCACATTATTAAGCATAACGGCGACAGCAATGAAACCCGCGAACCAAAAAATCATGGTTACGGCCTCGGCAAATAGGATACCGAATTTGTGGGCGGCGGAGGGGAAATGCGTGGGGGAAATAATGAGGTAGATGAGAGCGAGGAGGGTCCAGACGGAGGCGAAGACGAGGAAGTTTACGGAGTCGGGACTCCACCAGTAGGACCAGTCGTCTGCGGCTATATTTGGGGTTTTTTTGGTTAGTGAGGTGTTCTTTTTTTTTGTTTGGGGCGGTTGGGGGGGGGGGGGGGGGGGGGGATTTTTGAGGGGGAGGAAGGTAGAGGATGGATGGATGTAGTTTGACGTACCATAGGCCATTAAACCGAGGACGATAATGGCGAAGACCGCTTGGACGATGCGGAGAGGAAGGGTATATGCGAACGCCATATTGATTGTGGTTATGGCTTTAATTGCAGATGTGGTTTCAGTTGTGGTTTCAGTTGTGGTTTCAGTTGTGATAATGGATATCGGTGTAAAGATATGATAAATATGAAGAGTATTAGGATATTAGGATAATATCGTGTTGTGGATGGAGAACCCCAATATAAATAATAATGTTTGAGAAAAGATGGAAATATGGGGAATGTATGGTTTAAGCTTTTGCTTGTTTAAAAAAAGATTAGATCAAGTTTTCGAAGGAGGCTGGTTATGGTGTGGGTCGTGTAGTTTGTTGTTATGTTTCAGTAAAAATGATGAGATGTTATTTCTTGGTGCTGCTTGACCGAGTATATATACATAATGGAAAGAGGATCATCATATGGTTCATTCTTTTCCCAGATGTGTTAATCATGATCGTACGTATGTAAATGGTTGGCGGTGACAAGGGACAAATTTCAAGATTTTTAAAGAAAATGTTCTGTTTGGAATAATGTTGAAGCTTGGCAAATGATGACGTAGCAATTAGAATCATCGACTTTACAGAGTACAGTAAGGTTCTTAGCTTGGTAGCAGGGATTGGGTCCAGGTGAACATGGATTTAATGGTGACTTTAATTTATGGAGCCAATGAGCTGTCACTCATCTAAGCCACACGCGCACCATGTTTCGTTTCCATTTTTGTATGCAAACACCTTGGACCAATCATTCCTCTTGACAGGGTAAAGTTCCGAACATTTTGTACGACCATTTCTCTCATAATACTAAATGTTTTCCCAGGGATTGATTGGGCTCCGTAGGGATACCGCAACGCGCGCAAAGCTCGAAACATTGGTCCATGCCCTAAGCCTTTTAAATGCTTGATTTTTGGTGCAACCGCCATCGATCGACCCACTTTAGCTATCAAATTAGCAACATCTCATCGCGGTTAAATAATAGCCGCTCTCCCAATATACTATTCTCCCCCTCGAGTAATAAGTCGTCGTGAGCTGAGTCTTCCATAAATAGCAAATCATCATAGAGTACTTCTTCATCCTCAAGCTGCCAACGACGACCAAACAACATTTCTTCCGTTTCGAATTCTATTTCCAACCTTTCCCTTTCCTCATCACTCAACAGCAACTCATCTCCGTCGTCAAGGATATCAACAAAAGCATCCCCTGATATTTCCTCAGAATCACTGAGTATACAATCGAATGCCGATGTTTCACTGTCATGTTCATCAATAATCCACTGAAAGTCATCATCACCCTTCTTCGAGTCTTCTATATCAACGTCCATATCAACGTCAGTCCCGATTGAGTTCAGAAGGTCATCATATCCATCGTCCTCCTCCACCAGAATAGCATTATCTGAAGTCATGCGTTTGTTGGTAGCCTGTCGAGCAGCCGATGGATCATATAATGCTCGTTGCATCATTGACCAGATTCGAGCTTGAACCACGGCGGCTAGTCTTTTCTCGGAGTCTAGCTCACTGTCGATCTCTCCATCAGTTATATCACGGGCAAACTCAGAGGTCGGAATATTTGCAATGTCTGCAAGCTTTTGTTTAAGGCTTAGGGTCTGTGCATTGCGTGCTAAAGAGGCCAGCATCTGAATGATCCTAGGAGCGTAGCGAGAGTTATGCGCCATTGACTATGTCTGTTAGTGATTAACTTTGTTTATAGTGAAGTGCAATACTACCTTCTTGAATCCCGGAGAAAACATGACTGGGCTCAGGGTCGCCAAAGAAGTTGCTGGGATATTCGAAATATTGTCTATCGTCACCCCATTTGTTATCCTACGTCTCATTCCGGTGCCAGCAATCATTGCACGTATCGCCGCCCCAACAAGTTTGCATGATACTATCGGATCGAGGACGTATGCATTATTTTCTTGATTGTAAGTTAAGGCACGACGTTTCCGGGTGGGTTTCTCAACAGTTAATGAGTCCTTATCATCGTCTGATAGATGCATTATTTTGTCCACCTCTGCGTCTTTTAATGGCACATAATTATCCCCTTGCTTTTGCGAAGACCTCATTCCTACCTTTGGTAAGTTTTTGAGGGGGGAATCTATCCTCTTACCGTATTTTTTCAAGGAGACTGTACGTTTAGAAGTCGGTGGTTTGTAGGAGAATGGAAGTGAGCTTATGTAAGTGCTCAATTGGGACAACGCAGGTATAGCATGTAATGTCAAACTTGAACACAAACTTTCAGAACACTCTGCCAAAATTCCTGATATCTTATGTCCAGGGAGTTTGATAATTGATAATGATGTGGTCGGCATGATTGATTGAGTGATTTGTGACTGCTTAATGGAATCAAGAGTCTTCAAAAACGATGATATCCTCTCGCTGGGGCCAAATTTGATGACTAGTGATTTGATTGTTGCACCAGAACGAGTAATTTGCGACTGCTTGATGGAATTCAAACTCATCAAAAGAGATGATATCCTCTCGCTTGGGCCAAGTTTGATGACCAATGGTTTTTTTGGCGCACCAGATTGAGTAATTTTGAATCGTACAGGAGAATCTTTGTCAATCCCAGGTTCTAGAGCGGGAGGTTTTACTCTCTTTGAGATTTGCTTTACTACAGACGGAGATCGAAATGCTAGGCACAGTTCCAATCGTTCCATCTGAGCGCAAAGTAGTGCTTCAGGTGTCTTAACATCGGTAGTTGTATATGACCAAGGCCGGGGGCTGACAACTGACAAGGTTGAGGGTTCATTATAGTTGAGCTGAATTGAAAGACGTTCCTTCTGTAGTAACGCATTTTGCAAGTGGAGTATCGTGGATAGTCCAAGCTGTTCCCATATCTAAAATGGTAAGCATGTAAGTTATTCCTCCGAGTATTGATCCCACAAACCTTTGACTCTGCAACGAACTTGCCCAATGACTCAACGATATGATTATCATTTGTCTCAACCAGTTCTCTTCCATCGACAGTAATGCTGAGATCAATCCGGCATGAATTTCCACTAGAAACCCATATTTCACCTGAAGTCAATGCTTTCAGACACTCATCTACTGACAAGGACTCGAGCTTTCCGGACGGTAACCTAATGGCAACTTCATATTTTGCATGTAGAGACAGTTTGTCCAAGGTAGTAGATGAAAAACCGATTGGACCAAAAGTCATTGTCCTCAAAGACATGATGGAAGTGGTGAAGCTGGTCAAAGAGAGAATACAGTCAGGATTCCTAGTCCGAGGAAGGGTAATTACCGATTGTGGAAAAGATGACACAAATATTGAGAAAATGATACCTAGAAAAATAAAGTGAAGTTGGAATTGAGATGAAGATAGAACCTGAAGAGAGAAATGAAGAATTGTAAAAACACAAGTTGAATGTGAGAAGGAACAGAAAGATAAAAAAATGGAGAAATATAGAATGAATGATGGATGGAGAATAAACCGATAGAAGATGTTAGTATTCATTAATAGTAACCTAGTAGTTATATAGCACAAAGGGTATATCAAATTGCATCCCTTAGAGAGAATCTACTGCCTTCGTCCATATAACTCTCATGGATTTGATAATGAAGTGAAAATACAACAGGTTAATGAATGATTGTATTGGTACAATATCACTGTCCCCGGTACATTATAATGATTGTAAGGGATGATACATGATGAAATTATGTTGAGATTGAGAGGGAGATGTCAAGATGAAAGATAACCTAGCAATGATGACTCGCACGTGACGGCCGTCTGTCCCGCTAAGGTTAGCGCATGTAAATCGGAAAGATTTTGCCGGTATCCTAGACCTACATGCGAGCCTCAACACTAAAACAGGTAGTGACGGTATTACCCACAATTAAATACCGGGATCTTCAAGCTCTTCTCGTCAATCCGCCCACATCATCCACATCTTACTCCCCCAAGCCCAAGAGAAGCTCATACTAAATTTGAAGCATTCGACCAACTTTCTCGCCCGTGACCAATCCTAGTTCTTGCGGAGACTTTTTTGTTTACAAAGTAATGAGCTAAATCAATTCTTCAAGTCCAAGGTATAGCCGGTCTTCCAGAAATCCATACACACACCCCCGCTCAATCCCCCCCTCCTCTCAAAATTCTACCTTCACCATGGCTTTGAGCAATTTCGGATCAATTGTCCTACAAATCCTAATCTTCATAACCACCCTCGTGAATTTCACCTTCACTCTCACTACCCTTGGACCTTTCTTCCTACTGGTTCTGTACGCAATATCGAAAATCTTTTCAACCGCCCCAGAGGAAGATATATTCAAGAGATGTCATCTGCGTTACCTCTACCACGATTGATGAACGATACAGCTCACACAGATTCCCACGAATCGCAGATATCATATTCCAAAGACGATTCATCTGCGAATGACAGTATATATAGGCATCGATGGCAGAGATCTGATATAGAAAATGGGTATGCGGATGCCAATGGACGTGGGAATATAAATACCAACAACAATTCAGACAATAGAGGTTCTGCGGGATCAGAGTCTTTGGTTGTGAAGGATGATCATGGAGTAGGAGAAGTGGACCAACAGCCAGACACCAGGGAGAAAGCAGCTGCCAAAGTTAGTGTTCGGGATCGCATTGGTTGTCTGACATGGACTTGGTTTACTTTGACAATGGCAACTGGAGGAATTGCAAATGTCCTCTATTCCAGTATATGATTTGGTTATAATCGCTCTTGGGGCCACTTCTAACATCCTATAGTACCATATCGGTCGAACTGGTTGCGAATCGTGGGAGAGGTTGTATTCTGCCTTAATCTTACATTTTTTATAATAATTTGTACATTAATGTCTCTTCGTTTCAAATGGAACCCTGGAAGTTTCTCTAAATCTTTCCTTAGTCCATCTGAATCTTTGTATATTCCTGCTTGTGTAAGTCGATTCCAATCATTTTCGTTGTACAATAATCTAACTAATTACCAGATGATATCGTATGTAACATCCCCATCAACGAAACAATTGCTACTAAATGTTGATAGTGTAGGAACGATCCTTGTAACAATGTGCCAATATGGCATTCCCAAGACCGGAGTGTGGTTCCAAACTACCATGCATGTATGTTTTTGGGTATACAGCACTTTGAGCGTAGTGGCAAGCAGTGGTCTTTATTTATTACTTTGGTCCACACAGTAAGTGTAACCTCTACCATGTAGAACATCGGCTTATATTTCTACCAGAGAATTTCCCATTGCTAACATGACCCCCCTTTGGACTTTTCCTGCCTATCCGTTACTCTTGACTGGTCCAATTGCGTCAAATCTTATTTCTACTTTGCCAGATGCATCTGCAGCTGCACGTATGAATTCTCCTGCGATCGCTTTCGGAGCAATTTGCTTCCAAGGAATTGGATTTCTTCTTAGTCTAATGATTTACAGTGCTTTTCTGTATCGATTGATGACTAAAAAGCTCCCACAAGAGACTACACGGCCGGGAATGGTAATTTATACCTCGCGCGGCATTCTTTCACTTGCTTACTATTATTAGTTCGTTTCAGTAGGACCCAGTGGGTTCACAGTAACTGCAATTGTTGGACTGGCGAGTTCTGTCAGAACAACAATTTTACCAGACGGATATATGGGCAATGCTGATGGTCCGTTTATTCTGTACTTGATGGGGAATTTCACGGGACTCTTCATCTGGGGTCTATGCATTTGGTTTTGTTTGATTTCAATGGGTGCTCATTGGCAAGTCTTACAGCCCAATCATCCTGAGCATCATATAAGTGCTGATATGACATGGTACGGGCCTGCCTCCATTAATTTGAAGAATAATCACTAACACATGTAGGAATTCATTTGTATTCCCAAATACCGCACTAGCTACAGCGACTATACAAATAGGAAAAGCATTTGGTTCAAATGTCATTCGTATTATTGGGACCGTGATTTCCGTCATACTGGTTGTTGTTTGGCTGGGGGTTCTTTCTATGATAATCAGAGCCTTGTTCTTGAAACGACTTCTTATGCCAGATCAACTTGATGGAGCTGCTTCTCAAAGGAAGAAGTGGATGACGAAATTTAAAAAGGTCAAGGAAAGAAAGTAAAGCCGTATCGCGAGATAATTTGACGAAGGTAGGCAGTGGTGGGTGGGGTAGATACATTTTGTAGATAAGTTCCTGATTTTAGTCCTTTGTGATGGATTATAGATATATATTTGTTCGGATAGTAGGATGAGATTAACACTTTGCAAAATTCAAGATATTTATACTAGAAATAATCTCGATGCAAGTCCCAAAACTTGGACTTCCAGGAGGTGATTACCGATTGGTTGCATTCCGTGAAACTGCGTCAGAAATGTATGAGGACACTATCTTGGGGGATTTTCGCTACATAATCGACTAGGTAGTTGTTAAGCTGCGGAACGATGCATTCGATAGAGATTTATGACTGACTGACTGACTGACTGACTGACTGCGTGAAAGAATTAATACTTTGAAGGTATTGGTTTGAGGGGTCTTGATTTGTTGGGATGGGGGATGGGGAATTGGGAATGGGGAGTTGGAGGTTATGGATGAGGGGTTGGAAGGTTTGGGATGTGGGAGATGGTTCGAAGGGGAATGGAATATATCTAGATAGAGAGACAGAGAGAGAGAGAAGGCTTGGTTTAGAGGATCTCTGAGGTGGGTGAGGTGGTAATTGGGTTGGGGAAAATGGAAATGGAAATGTGGAGATGGGTGTGAAGATGTTGATTTTTGGTGTATGACAGGGAGACTCCTGGATGGGAATGGAATGAGAGTACTGATGCCTGTTTGATTCAAGAACAAGAATAAAGTAAGAAGTTTTGGATTTTATGATTTGGGAGAATCTGGTTAAGTTCAATGATGTTTTTATTGGCTGATGGAACTAGGGAAGGTGAGGATTCTTAAGTGTTACGCCGGGTAACAAGAAAACGCTCACGTGCTACCAATATCATGTGATTGGCTCAGTAAGGATCAGCAAGCTCAGTACTGAGCCATACTGATCCTACTGATCAGCTAGAACACGAAGGTCTATATAATCAAGATGGATTTCCTTTGTATAGAGCTTCGTGCTCAAGATCAATCATTTAGTATACTCTACTATTAGTTACGAATTGCATTATTGTCATTACTTTAAGTCCCTGCTTGACGCCTAGTTATAAACCACCTCGAGAGCCTAGAGCACTTCCACGTGATCTAGACGGCAAACCTCGTAACATTAAGCGAATTAGGGTGCGTTCGGATCGATTTTTTTTCCACATTTGACCACATTTGGGCTAATATATTAGGCCTAATATGATTGAACCGAACATAATATTCCATCAAATATATATTAGGTCAAATAATCAATTTTATCAAATGCAAAATTGAGCCCAATAAAAAATATTAGGTCAAATATATATTTGATTAAATGTTTAAATTTTTTCCTATATAATAATCAATAATAGTTTTTTGATATTATTAAACAAAATATTTGAAAATATTTGAAAAATCTGTTAAAGCGAATGGTTCCTGCGTAGCACGTGCACAGGGCACTAGTCCTATTAGGACTAGATTGAGAAGCTCTCTGTAACGATACTATACTGGAGGCAGCGGCTGCCTAAGGTTTCGTCTGATTGGTAGTTGTGGGTTAAGGCTTTATCACTGGTCTTCACTTGGAAGTGAAGTCGTTACTAGATCAAGTAGAATGTAGGTAAACTAATTGATAACTAAGTTGAGCACAAAGCTCCTTAACTACGAGACTAAATGAATGTTTATATACCCTATATCATCTTTTGAGGACCCTATGGACCCTTCGGTCCTCAAGGTCCTCGAGGTCACGTGAATTAATGAATCGTGACACTCTCTGTAGGAGAGCTTCGCACTTCTGTAGAACTTAGATTATAGGTGATTTATATAAAAGCCCAATATAGTCTCAGTTCTGCCCTGTTAGCTTCCCACTATTCCCTGTGTAAGGTCATTCCTTTTAACAGTATCAAATATCTAAAAAATAATTATTTTATTGATTATTATATAAAGAGGCACATAAGATAAAAATTATATTCATTTATTTATTTCAATTTTTCTATTAAATACTATAGAATTAAATATGAATTATACTTTTTGAAAATCTATAAATAAAGATTGAAAAAATTGAAATTACTCTTGAAAATTTAAAGATTAAAGTTATTTTTTAAAAAATTGATACTCAATTATAAATCTCTATAGAATTTATTCATTACTTTTCTTAACGATTAATAAATAATTATCAGGTCATGATTTTGTTAAATCATTACTTACGATTTGGATTAGTTTTTTCTAAAAGAGTGCATTTAACCACCCATCGACTAAACTGACAGCAACTACTAGTATTTGCGCCTATAAATTTTTTTGGAAATACTAAAAGATCGAGAAAAGGGCCATTCAGTGTTTCGTATACTGAGAATATCGTTCCAAGGGTTGACAGGACCTGGAAGGCCTAGAAAGACTAAAGCTTTTAAAGAATTATTAGAAATTAAGATATAAACTTTGCTTTTTTCTGATGTTTTTGTATGTTATTGGATCTTTGTACTTACCCTTTCCTTCTTCAACTTTCGTTCTTCAACTTTTCTTCTTCGTTCATTCAACCTTTCCTTCCTTTCTCTTCTCTCCCTTAAGTCTTCCCCCCTTCGCCCTTTCCCCTTTCCCCTTTCACCTTGGCTTCTCTCTTTTAGTCAACCAAATCTTCATGAAATTCTAGCTCCGAACTCGTCCTTAGTTTGGAGATTCGACTTAAATATCCATTCCATTTGGCGTTCAGACCATTCAAAAGTTGATCTGATGAGAGTTAATAGTAAGTCACCGGCACATTTAACATGTCGATTAGTGCGGATCTAGCTTAAGATTGACTCCTACTTGACGTACTCACTAAACTTACTTAGGCTTGAGCATCCTTCTAGTCTTCAACCAAGCGACTCACTTGAGCATTAATCATCTCTGGTGACTGGATAGTGGGCTATTCAGATGAAGCTAGTAGATGTACTTGAAGACCTACCCATATATATAGTTTCTTGTCGTCCCTTCTCATCATCATTCTTAAATTCAATCATCCAAAAAACCAACTTTTAGCTTTACCAAACTATTTGCAACGATTAAAACCATTGGATTTTATCAAATAATTTGTGACAATACAATATATCTCGCTGTCCCGCACTATTCGCAACAATGAAATACGACATCTCTGTTTTCAAATGGAGATCTTTCTCATGGTGGATTCCAATAATTGGCACTGCAAATGTCCTTGCTGGAATCGCCGCTTGGGTAATCTTTCATGGACCACCTCCCAAATTGGTCCCACTCGATTTCCTTTGGATATCCCCAGTCCCCATCGCTTTCGTCTATAGCTTTACCATGCTCATCATTCTTGGAACACGAGGTTCGGAACGTCTAAATAAGCGGCCCTACAACGTTGCAATGATGGATTTGGTTAATCGAATTTAGTGCGCCACGATCATGACCATATTATCATGCTGGGCTGTAGTGGCTATCTTCAAGGCACTACTAAGAGATTTGAAACCATTAAGCGAAGAAAAATCTGGAGGGGAATGGGTTTTGTTAACAACCATTGGTTTTTTCACGCTGATTTTCTGTGCTGGTGTTTTGGCTGCAACTTGGCTGCCAATTAGCTCTGACGAACTGGGAGATTTATATGACCCTGTAGCAACGGATGGAGAAAGTATGGAATTGAGCAATCACAAGGAGCCTGAAGAGGCTTGAGATAGAATGCCAGCCGTGGATTTTATTGTATGAGGTGAGTGATGGAGGAAGCCTGTTGCATTTTAAGGGTTTCTAACCATCAATATTGTAATAGGCAATGAAAGAGCATTTCTGGGAATCAGGTCTATACATTAAAATCGTCTGATGTTCAAATTTCTTCAGGCACTAAGTTAAGTTCAGATATTGAATTCACTTCTAGTGTCAAATACATTAATACTTCCTGCCTATTCTAGAATTTGAAATAAGCAAGAGATTCCACGTTTTCAAGGATTGAAGAAAGTGGAATACAACCCGGGCTTAGAGGCTGACCAGGTGCTAGAAACCCGGAGGTCCTTGCAAGCAGTATTTAGGTATGGCATCGAAGGCAGTTCCAGGCATAAAAGTTCCTCAATTCAAGCAGAGTATGAGGACTCAAACAGCGGGCAATCAGAAAGTTAGTTCTTAATTCTAGGATGAGCCAAGCTTGTTAGAAGATAATTTTGAAACATCTTTTTAGAGTATATCTGTCCTTTCCCTTGGACCTCAAGCATGATGGTTTATAAGCCACAATCATTAAATTTAGTTCTCGTATACGAGACCATTTCAGCGGCAGCATCCGCTTCAAAGTGCTGTAGTGACGTCATCTATGACTAGCTTGTCAATGTCAGCTATCTAACTTGGCATTTTTCAGTTCTCCCGATTCTTAGCTCTCCAATAAAGGTAGTCTTTCCTACTGAAGTATCTTTTGATTTCCCACTTAATCTTCGAGATTCCACATGGTCGTTCTATAATTGCCTTTAATTGGTGAATTGATAGACTTATGGTTACAGCATAATGAGGCTGAAGTAGGCAACGGGCCGGAGTCCCATATATTTTAGCTTGATCATTGAAAAATCTGACCAGTTCCAAAATTTTGGTATCCATAGTACCAACTATTGGTACCTTCTCAAAAAGGATAGGTATCAATGATTTATTACTCCTTTAACCCCTTTCATTCTGTCTGTTATTTCTTCAACATCACTACCTCACACGCATATCTCACGAGATACTTTCATTAAACAGCAATTCGTCAAACATTCAAGTCGTCAATTTCAGCACAGTTAAGCTGAAAACAACAACGTGAGCCTCTCAATTTTATATCAGAATCTTTTTTCTTCCATCCGACATTCCCTTCACTCGCCACCTTCGTACTGGTGGTAAGATGGATCCTTTATGCAGGACCTCCCCTGGACACAGTAAAGCAAGACCTTATCTGGCTTCTACCAATCGAAACCTCTTTCTTCTACAACACTATCGCTTTGATCTTTCTTAGCGCGTACTACACGGAAGAATATATCAACTGCCATCTCGACATTAAACACCTCCTCAGACTTTTAGGACACAAAGTAGCTTGCGTGTTGAACTTGGCATTGGTTCTGGGTTATCCCATATGGAGCGGTCTCAAAGCGGCGACGATAATTCTTGAACCTTTGAGCAAGCCCTTGGGAGCGTACTCATGGTATGTCTTTACGATGTCTACCTTGGCTGTCCTTTCTGTATACTTTGGCACTACAGCATTAGTTTTGTGGGGAAGTGTGGTATTTATAGATCTTAAGAAGTTTAAGAAAGGTGGCGCTATTTATCTGGAGACGACATAGACATTTGGAAAAGTGATTGGCTAGAAGAAGAGCAGGAATATGTGATTGTTGAAGCCTTGATGGCACGGATCGAGGAAGGCAGGTTGGTGCGGGGGAGAAGGAGGGGTTTGTTAGAAATTTGACGGGGCAGAGCAGTATTGATTCTTATGGAATGGTCTGTGTTGTAGAGGAGTATGGCTTGTGAAGAGTATCGGAATGTCTCAAAAATTCTCAGCGGATGTAGTTCACTATCATTGACGACATTCTGAGGTCCACGATGAACTCCAAGATCTATGGCATGGAAGTGAGATTGGGAGGGGCATTGATAAGTTTGAAACAATTAGGATAATAGAGATAAGTTGTGTTCATCCCAGACATGCACAGATTAAATAATACTCGCGATTACTCAATGAAATCTCGTTCTACCTTTGACAGAATTGAATCTCTTACGAGCACATTTTGTGTCTTTGACCATCGCCTCACCAAGACCCCGTATCCATCCCATTGAATATAGTTCATGATAACACTTTTTTCCGCGACGAGAAGAGAACGTGATTCGTCGGAACATATACCACTTGTTAACAGCGGAAGTAAAAGCCGCGTATAGTGCTGCCTGCTTATTGTGCCATTGGCCCCGGCACCCACTTGTTTGCGGGACACTTTTTGTACCTCGTATCTTAACATATGGATCAAGAGGATGGCTTATTGTTTATATTCAATTGGAACATTGATGATTAGCCGTCCTGTTCAGTTGGCACAGATGGGATATCGCAGATATCGTTTCCAATTTCTGGCTTCGCAGTGACACTGTGACCACTGACGTAACGGAGAATCTTTTCTTCTACGAAACTTTCCTTGGAAGTGTTACATACAAGTAGACCAGCAGTATATCCAATGATTATTTCGAGCATATCTGCTATGTTCGAAGCTTTTCATTAGTCCAGATCCACGGCACTCACTCACTTCTCCTTGTCCGGGTCGTAGATATTTACTGGCATGGTGGTTCGGACGACTGCTCTTGTCACGTGATACTACACCCGAGTCTCTTTCCTTGCTTTTTGTTCCTAGACCCACTGTCGCCCTTATTGTTGCTAGGTCTGAAGACTGCAGTGCTACCCTTCATCACCAGAAACGCTCACCGAATGTCACAGGGCGACAAAAACGCCCTGTTTGTATGAGAGCCAAGCAAGCAACAATAGTAAGCGACCTTTGAAACAGCGACGATAAGTCGTAGGTCATGCATAAGGATAGCAGCTTCCCACATCGAGGGAAAGAGGCCCAGCACACACATTTTGCTACACATCCTTTACATCATACATTCATTTCTCTCGCCGCTTCAAAAATTCATGTCGGAGCCAATGTTCGAAGAAACGTCCGATTGGATGGATGAATACGTCTGTTTCGATCCCTCGCCTGATCCAGGCTTGATGGAATCAGACAGGTGAATTTTTTTTTAATACTTGCTAACAAAAAGGGCGGTGCAAGCAATGATAGCCACATTCAAGATCATATGCAAGCAAACGAGACCGAGAACGAAAGTCATGCTAGCCCAAGCGAAATATGTCGCGCACGCGAGACCAACAGCCATTGTCCTTTCAAATGTAGACTTGATAATTGCAACGAAACTTTCGTCTCTTTTTCAGAGAGAAAAGCTCACGAAAGGGGACATCACGGTACAAGACACAATCGTATTCAGCATCAGAATCGTCATCATTGCTTCGAATGCCAAGAGAACTTTTTTTCGGAGTTCGACTTCTATCGACATGCCCGAGAGCGCCAACACAATCCATATGCCTGCAGTTGTGGCTCCTTATTCTCGAGACTTGACGTCCTTAATCGACATCTCAAGAATTTTGGGACTGATCTCCCCCAGTATCCATGTACTTTCTGCAAACGCCATCGTGGTGTCGAGGGCTTTCGTCGCAAAGATCATCTGTTACAACACTTGAAACAATATCATCACCACGAAACTGACGCCTCCTCCAAAACACACGATGGGACTACGAATTCGATATCAGTGTTCTATCCTTTTCATCTTATTTGCACGCATTCAGAATGCCCACAATATCGCGGCCTTGAATTCGAAAAGCTCCCCCTTCGAATGGAAAACTTCCAGGCACCATTTCGCAGTCAATCAGAGTTCACAAAGCACATGCGCGAAGAGCACAATGAGTGTACTTTCCCTTGCAAAATTGATGGATGTCCACGTGTTGGAAGGCGGGGTTATTTTAGAGAGAAAGACCTCATTAAGCATCATCAAAAGGAGCACCCTGAAGAAGAGACTTACATACCATTAGAACGGTCTTCTCAATGTACTGAGCCTGCATGCTATGCATGGTTTGACCCGTATCATGGGGAAAAATTTCATCTTTATGCTGGACATCTGTCTTAGGTATCAGATAGATAAACTAGCAACAAAGAAACCTTCTCGAGGAACATAAAAAGCTCTTCCTCTTCAAGCTGGGTACACCATGAGAATAGCTTTAATGCTTAGTATCCTAGGTAAACCCAGCTGCACACCATTTAACACATAATGGCTAAATAATCATTATTAGTGTCCTTTGTTAACTTAAGGTACACCTTTCAAATATGATTGATGTATGTCATGAAAGTGCTTTCATTCCGCTTCAACTGTCACCGCAATCATATTATTGTTAGTTTTTGGACCTTGTAGCTAGTCTCATCTCTGGCATCTCTGTTCATGGTTTTCTTTCGTTGCTTTTAACTTGATATTTTCTCTTTTGATGAAGGAATGTGGAGGAATTGAGTTGATTGTGCCTGGATTTATTATTTGCCTTTCTTATTTTCCTTATAGTCAGCCTCAACTACCGCCGCCTCTATTCATGTTTTTCTCTTTATTGCTCTACTTTTAAATTTGATACTCTCTCTTTTGATGGATCTACGAGAAGGAATTGAGTTGGATTTCACTATTCTATGATTTTCTCCCTCTTTTGCTCTTTTGCTCTTTTCCTACTTATGACTTACATATCCAAAATATCATTCTTGATAACCAATCCTTCATTACTTTAAATCTTGCTTGTGATTTCCAAAAACACACCCGAACAACCAACCAACCCCAGTCGTCCCTCCTCTCGTATATAAAATCTATTCTATTCTACTCCCGCAAACTAATAGAATAACCAAGCTGTTCACCCAACTTCATAACCATTTTGCGAATGAGCTCAACACGACAATTCAGCATAGGCGCTACCGAATCTCCTAGGTATCAAATATCTATGCATAGAAGCTAAAGAACATCCAAATTCCGGAGTATCTTAAATCTTAGATAGTGGTGAATATTATTAAGGGGCTGGGCATGGAAGTCTTATTAAGGTCATGGTGTGTGGTTATCTCAAGATATGAATAAAAACTCGAGCACGAGGATTTTGACGGAAGATACACATCTTCAGGGTTCTCGTCTGATATTTTGAATTATTTGTCTGTGCTGGGTCTTTTTATGGTTTTGCTAAGTTGATGGTTAGGTTCTCGTAGGTACTTGAATCAAAATCACATGGTCTCTCATCACCAGATTCAATCAAGGAAGCATACACATATACGATGATCCCAAAAAATATATCCATTCATAGCTCATCTATTATTGGCTAAACCTGCCATTACCATGCAATCTTTCTTCCCGCGCCCATTATTTCGCTCTAACACCCCCAGGAAAACTTCTCGCACTAAGCAAAACTCCTTTAACACCCCTAATCTCCCTCTTAACCTTTGCAAATTCATCTTCTCCCTCCTTGTCATTACCATTTCTATCACGTCCATCCGAATAAGCTCCAGAGCGATAGTTGAACGGAGCTGGGAAAACCAATCCTTGTAGATATTCCTTCAACATCGTCATTCTCGTTTCTAGCTCTTCGTTTGCGGATGATTCATATGTCGAGTCTTCTAGTAGTGATGACAATGTGCCCTGCAGGGTTGTCAGACGCGATGCCTGGATTGCGGTTGGTGTGGTTGGGGTATGCGCGTGGGATATTAGGGACGGTGAACTAGGTGTTTGAATAGGTGATGAGGGAAGAGATGTTTGGACCCCAATGTCGCGGTGGAATAGCTCGGTAGGATCACTAGTTACGGAGCTAGAATCAGAGTCTAGATAATCGGATTGGAAGGATTTACGGTAGTGGTAGGTAGGAGGGATTTCGGAGACGGAATTTTCGAGTTTGTGGATTAGCTTTTGGAGGTTGTTGAGAGTGGCGGAAGATAGGGATCGTCGGGACTCGGTGAGGGTGTTGAGCATAGGCCGTATCAAAAAGGTATTTGTGCCATAAAGAAGGAAGCTGAAAGAGCCGAAGAGATAGAGAGTCGTGAGAAGGCGGTGTTTGGTAATTAAAGGGCTGGAAGGAGATGGTTGAACTAAGAATTCGGGATAGGTTATTATAGGAGGTTGATCGCGAGGTGCTGGCGAATAGCTTGCTTGGGTAGTTGGAGGTAAAGATCGCGGCTGCGGCTGCCGTTGAGGTTGTGGTTTGGCTTCCGGTGTTTTAACCAGAGATGTATTTGGGGCTTCATCATCCCGAGAGACACCTAGTAGCTCCTTTATATCATCCCCTCCAAGACCTTTGCTTTCTAGAAAAGCAATCTTCTTGTCCGCAGACGCATTCTTCACTTCATCTTCTTCTAAGAACTTCCTCGCCTGCTCGAGTATTGACGTCCGACTTGGTGGTTCAACAACTGCTTCTCCTGGTTCATCGGACTGTTTCTCATCGCCTTGGAGTTGCCATGCAGGCACATCTGGCTTTTTAGTCTCGTTGTCAGAGTCGCTCATCCTGCTCTGTGTAGTTCGTTGAAGAAACTTCTTAGATAATAAGTGAGAAGCGCTCGAAGCTCTGGCAAGATAGGTAGAATTGTCGGTGTCAGTAATTACATGTGCCTCGGCACGGAAGGTTGATGACATAATCTCAAGGTGGACTTTTTGATTGGTTGTGAACTAACCTTAGTCGTTTTTGTATGTATCAAAGCATTCACGACAATTAACCTTCAAGATTGTCGCAAATATCTCTTTCACACTCCCAACTTCTGATATTGGACATTTACGACATTTACCATTCCATTCTATTACGATCTATCAACTTTCAACATCTTATGAACGAAAATCGCCAATCGGTTCGACAATCCAACTTTACATCACACATTATCACGCTGCTGGACCTAGGGATAAACATCGATATACTTTAGGAAGTGGGTATCAACGAGTATCAAAATGTCAGGAAAAGCCGAGCGACCCAGTAAGCGCATACGTAAACTCAGTACTGATTCTGAGGGAGATGGAGAAATCGATTGGACGGATCACCGTGTAAAAGCTGGTAGGGCTGATGCAGCCACCAACAAGAACGAGTAAGTCTTTGAACATCTCTCAGATGTTGAAATTTCCATTATTCTCACAGTCGCATTAATCCTCCGTTTGTTCTTGGTAACATGTTGCTGCACGCAAATCTCCGTAATTAAGCGTTACCTTTGATCGTCCACTCTATTTCCACTTTTCGATTTAACCCTCGTGTTGTTTTACGATAATCATATCTTGCGTTCGTCGTACAAACAAGGGGCGAGAGACGAGGCATCAGAGAATGAATCTTATTAGCTACGTGGTTGGTCAGTCTTGAAAAGACAGGATTGGGCGAATTGTGTAAGAACAGCGCGTTTATGTGTGCAAAGCGTCTGCTCACCGGTCATTCTCCGCAATTCTGTCTTATCAAGGCAGTGACCCTGCCCTTGCCAACTGAATCACCACCAACTGTGCTTAAATCACTCCACATCCTTTGCCGTATTATCAATAACCTCAAAAGAAACAATCTTGGATCAAGGAATCCATCAAGATCAACAAACCTACCACCCCTTTGAATTTGTTCACCTCGTATTTGATTGACTATCTGGAGCAAGATGTCTACACGTCGCAGTCAGCGGTCGGCAGCTGTCAAAGCTAGAGACGTAATTATTGTTTCTGAACAGGTATCTCCTAGGTCATCACGATCGCGTCGCACCAATCCAGAGCCCGCCTCAACTGCCACCGTATCACGTGGACCAGCACCACCAGAATCGAAAAGTCCGGAGTCAATGCGTTTGACCGTCAAGACATCATCAAGTAAATTGAGAGAAGCGACAAGATCAAGCCCTGTCACTGGCCCACCTGTTATGGTTAATAGCAGAGATCAATTTGTCGGTGGCGAGATCCTCGAAGGCAAGAGAAACAGGAAGGTCAGGAAGAGTTATGTTTTGGAATCAGAGAGTGAGGAAGATGATGAAGAAATGGAAGATGCTGAGGGTGAAGATGATCCCGATGCGGAAGGTGAAGATGACGACCTAGATGCTGACGGAGACGTTGATATGGATGTGCAACCGACTCCACCTACCATCCAAATTTCTAAAGCGTCGGCTGGACAAACTAAAATCATTGTGAAGGAGCCACCGAAAATACCCGCTGCTACTGTTGAGCAACAGGAAATGGGGCTCAGTGATGATGACGATGAACTCAGTGAACTCGACAGTGACTTAGGAGAAGAAATCGAGGAGGAGGAAGTAATTCAAAGTGTAAATGAGGAAGATGCAGAGGGAGAAGATGAGGAGATTGAAGCGGCTGCGGAAGAAGATGAGTTACTCGATAGTGATGATGAAAATCCCGCAAATGAGAGCAGAGGGTCTACTCCCGATCTCAATAAATTGACGAGGAGACAAAGAGCAAGATTTGACGATGCTGCTAGTGGATATCTCATGGCTCTTCCCGATGGTACGTTGTTTCATGGTTTAATGTGATCACGCGCTAATATCCACTCAAGAGGTCCAAGTGAAGAAACATCTCACAGCTGAAGAGCATGCTATGAGACGGGCAGAAATGGCACGAAGAAGGAAGAATCTTAGTGAGAAGCGTAACGAAGAAGAGAAGGTAATCACATCCTAAGAGTTATCCAGTTACCCACCTGGTCTCCTTTTCACCGCTAGTTCACCTTGCTTATACAAAGTTTAGATGGAAACAATCAACAAACTTCTTAAGAAGCAAGCACCGAAGACCAACGCTCGTCGCAAAGATCTCAATGGGCCCGTTGTTGACGCGACTCCGGAAGGAGAACCCCAGAAGCCGAACCCGCTTTTCGTTCGATGGGTTAGTAATAAGGATGGGAATCGAATTGGTGTACCAGAAGAGTGGATGGAAGGTCCTACCGGTGCTTTGTTCCAAGGTGGAATTAAGTCTAGCGGGAATGCTATGGGCGGGAAATTGATCCAGGAAGTCTCTTGAGTAAGTAGGACTTGATAATGTATATTAGGTTTGTGGGCAACAAAATCACAGGGTCTTAAAGATAGTTGATTTTAATTCATTTACATTTCTTTTCATTGGGGCAAGTGTTCTCTCGCTCTATCGTCATCCTGAAACATGCCTATTTGATCTAAACTTCAAGATGTCCTACGGGAAGTTGTCCCCCGTGTTGACCTAGTTCTTCCGTCACCATCCGCTGATCTTCAGAGTATCGGAGAGGCTTCACGAACATTTGGCTCACTATCCTCATCGCTATCATTCTCCTCCGCATGATACACAACAACCAAACGATATTTCCAACTTCTCTCACGCATCATGAATATAAGCCTATCCACAGCAACATCAGGACCACAAAGAGTATCATATGAATCATCATCAACCATCTGATCAATCTCCCATCTCACTGCAATACTTTCCACTCTACACTTCAACGGAACATCTTCCCAATTGCTTGAGCGGCTTCTAATCGCATCGACAAGATCTGTATATGAATATGGGGCTTGAATGAGAAGCACACCCATACTTAGGAATTGGGTGTCGGAAAACCAGTTTGCGATTCTGTATTCGGTTAGGACTAGGTGTTGGGTATTTGGGAGATTAGGGTTAGGTCCGTCTTGAGTGGGTTTGACGCGGGATGCGGGGAGTTGCGATTGTGTGCTGTGTTGTGCGATGGGTTGGGGTGTTTCGGGGATTGTAGTCTTATCTGCTTTCTTTCGAATATGGGTTGGTGTAAAGGGATACATATCTATCTTTTATTGGTCACTGGAGGCGGGATGATGTAAGAGGAATTTTATGGTTGGTTGTTGGGGAATTAGTTGGGTTTGATTAGAGGGGAGATTGTTGCTTCTTATAGATTGGGATATGATTAAAACATAAGGGATGTGAAGAATTCTATTCATTCTGGGATCCTTTCAATTGATGAGATGGGATCTTTGAAAATAAAAGATTATTAATCTCTGTTTCAGTAAGAATATAGGTGACTGGGAGCTACATATTGATTGAGGGGAAATGGGAAAAAGGAACAGGGTTTTTATATGTACCGTCCCGGTGGTATAGTTAAATGGGATAGAGGCGCTGTATCCCTGAGTATAGACTGCTTTTATATCAAGTTTTGTATATGTTTCGGAGTGCTTTCTTTTCTTTCCGTTGGCATTTTTCTATTATCCTGGAATCTGCTGTATATAGCGTCAAGTGAGGTAAAATAAAGAATGATTTTGAGGGTAGGAAGTTTATAAAAGGAATTCTAAAAACCTGTTTTATGCTATTTTTCAAATTGAGAGTGATTTATTAGTTTATATAAAGTATTTTCTTTTATATAATATTCAATTTAAATTATTAAAAAATTTAAAAATTCAAGATTAAATAATAAATATATTTATTTATAAAAATTGATTGAGAATATTTATATATTTATAATAAGATAATTAATATCGATATATACACTGTTTTTTTATAAGAATATATATAATCTTTTTTCAAATATTTAAATTTTATATTTAATAATAATAGTCTTTCTAGGCTTATATAGTACATTCTTAGCCGCTTGTATATGTAGATTCTAATTGTAAAAGAAATATAAGTGGTTTATCATCCTAGTTGAAAAGAAAAATCGATCTGATGTTCCCATCCAATTAAGGCCTTGGTGATATATTGTAGAAGACGAAGTCGTATAAGTTTGTAAACATTCAGGGATACATTTTTTTCCTATGAACTTGGACGAGGAGATATTTTATGATGGGTAGTTAGTTAGAACAATGATCACAATGCTTAGATTCGTCACGTCCCTTGATTGAAAGATGGTAACTTTTTCATTTCCTCCCATTGCACTGGAAATCAATGGATCTTATGCTAATATCTTTTCACTTGGCTTATAGCGAGAAAAATTTTATGATACCCGGGCTTCTTCCTTTTGTACCATCTATTTTATACAATTCCCGTATCAGTGCGGTTTCAATACAGTCTCCCATCTCTTGCAGAATCTGTGATTATCTCACCAATTGGCGCAGTCTAGTTTCATAGATAAGCTAACAGTGTATAAGTGAAGTACTAAATCACTACAACTAGTTCATTTCCATGTTCCGCTATCTTTCGCAATTGCGGACTTGTTACGCCGGGTAACAAGAAGACGCTCACGTGTTACCAATATCATGTGACTGACTCAGTGAGGATCAGCAAGCTCAGTACTGAGCCATACTGATCCTACTGATCAGCTAGAACACGAAGGTCTATATAATCAAGATGGATTTCCTTTGTATAGAGCTTCGTGCTCAAGATCAATCATTTAGTATACTCTACTATTAGTTACGAATTGCATATCATTATTATCATTACTTAAGTCCTTGCTTGACGCCTAGTTATAAACCACCTCGAGAGCCTGGAGCACTTCCACGTGATCTAGACGGCAAACCTCGTAACAGGACTGTGACAACGTATTAAGGTCATACGAATTGCCCAGTTCTGCCTAGTACCTAGTGACTTTTAGGTTTCATTAATTCTTCACACCGTCAACCAAACCACATATAAGTTGCAGAGTCTAATTCAATCTACTGGTAAAGAGTGCGATACTGATGAAAGTAAAAAGTTTAATGCTGTTGGACAAGATCATGTCGGCAAGAACAAGCAATATACAAGTTTAGCTAAGGGAAACATGGACGAGGTATCATTTGCAGGGAGAGCAGATGATGCAAGTCCTTAAGTATAGCAGCTCAGAGCGCCAGAAATCGCGCTGTCAAAGACTTGTTTTAGATGTAGGCAGGATCGAATATTTTCCACAACAAAGAGTCGGCAAAGAGGAATATTTTGATGGATGAAGAATCAATCGCACTTAATATACGGGCGTGACTTACATGACCGCCGAGGAGATATTGGATTTCTTTTCTAAGAATGGAAAATCTCTTATTAAATTAAAGCGCAAGCCGTATTCCATATAATCTTATGTTTAAAATGCAAGGGCAATGCTTGAAAGTGACGAGTCAGTGAGGTGTTTCCGTGATGGCAAAAAAGAAACCACAAATTACTATGAGATGATGAAGAGTGGAGCTTGATTCTCCGTTAAAAACTGCTGAATTTCTGAAAAACAAAACCATTCAAGTTCTTATGTACTAACGATTTCGCTATGAAAGGCCCTGCAAGCTTTTCTATCCAGGCCAGGAAGCCCTCTTTGACTGAAATTCCGCTCATTGTAATATCAATTTTTTGTACATGAAATAGGTCAAAAAAACAGTAATGAAAAATAATGAGAAAAAAGACATCTCAAACATGGAGATTGTACTTCTCAGGTCATATAAGTTGAATGCTCCATCAATGTCCTCTGCTTATGATTCTCATCAAAACACTTTGTATCCATTCTCTTATGGTCTTCAAGGGAAAAACCTGCTGACTACTTCTCAAGGTCTTTTAGTAGAAATAGATACGCATCAGCTGGTATTTTTGCTTGAACTAGCATCCTTTGGATTTCTATCCATCTCCTCATCAGGATCCTCATGCTTTTCCCTCCACCAGATAGTCCAATTTTGATTCGACCATTCTTGTCTTCGCATCAGGCGAATCGCTGCTCTCCAATCTTTAGTCGTCCTAATCAAATGCATTGTTGAATTATCACGGTTTCCCTTTCCGAACGGAAGTGTATGTAACTGCGCTCCATTATCCCACGTAACGATAAGTTTTACCGGTTCGAGATTCTCGGGCATACCTGCATTAATTGCATCTTCCTCTGCGCGATCAATAAATGCAAGAAGACGATCTTCGCCCGCGGCGTCGGTAAATTCAATGATCGTTGTGATTATTTCGTCGGAATCTTTTCGGAAGTGAAGGATTGGACGAATGAGGGGTCCTACGATACGAGTGATTGTTATCTCTCGGTTCTTTCGCCAGGGCATCGGGTCTCCTCTTCCCTGTATCGGGTGGTAGAGGCTATTTTCGGATGTAAGTGGAGGCCATTTTTCCGAAGGAGAAACACAAAAGCGGCATGTTGAATGATTTTCGATTTGGGGACCCAATTCAGATCCTCTATACATTGCCATAGTGTAATCGTAATGAGGAGACTCAATAGAATTAGCTCCAACATTTTTTGGGGCTTCAGTTCTTTTCTTCCCCATGGTGAGCACCAATCTAGGTACTGATGGTTTGGAAAGAACTGGCTTATTATTGTCGGATGAGTCGGTTTGTGGGTTGAAAAGGGGATGCATATTGGTTTTTTCGTCATCGATGCCGTCGCTATTTTCCTGATTCATTGAGTCAGTTTCTATGGTGGGCACAAGTACCGCTTTACTTGAGTCATGAGGAGGTGGAAGAATAGCTTGGGGTCCTTCAAAACGGAAAAGAGGACGCAAGGAAGTATCTTTTTCTTCATCAGGTTCTTCACTGTCACCAGAATCCTCGCTATCACTAGAATCCTCGCTATCATCAAACTCCTCAATCTCACCAGAATCCTCGCTATCACCAGACTCCTCCCTATCACCAGACTCCTCCCTATCACCAGAATTCTCCCTATTACTAGACTCCTCCCTGTTACCAGACTCCTCCCTATCATCAGAATCCCCCTTGTCGCCAGAATTCTCGCTATCACCAGGATCCTCGCCATCATCAGAATCCTCACTTTCATTCTGATCTTTGCTTGCATGAATGATAGATTCGGAGGTCTTATTGTACTGAATGCTGATTTTGATCTTTTGAGCAGCAATCGACTCTTTGCTATCCTCATCTTTATTAGAGCCGTTTCTATCACTTGGCAGACCAGGTGGAGGAAAAGCTTGCAGGGGTGAAGGAAGCATAGCACCAAGTAGTCTAGGTGCTGGTAGAGGTGCTGGTCGAGGTGAAGGTGGAGGAATCAGAGTAACTTGTCGAGGTGGAGGGGTCGGGATCGTGATTTGGTTTTTGAAGAACAGAATAGGCCGGTTTCTGGTCAATCGAGGAGTAACCGGAGCAGGAACCCTTTCCGGAATGGTTGGACAAAGTACATAATTCTGACTAAAAGGGCCTTCTCTTATGGGGAATTCGAGTATTTCATTTTTATAAAATTCTCTGATGTGTTCAAGTGGTGACGCGAATTTCACTTGTTTGTTTGAAAAAGACTCAAGAGAGTGATCATCGTCAAATTCATATTCCATCATTGAAACCTGTGGAGATGATAATATGGACTTGAATGGTTTCTGTGGAAGTGACTCGGGAGAAGATTCGGGCGTGGATTCGGGAGATCCTTCTATATCCATGGGTGATTCTGATCTTTCCAAGTTCTTTGAAGGAGATCCTGGCTCCTCGTCAGAATCAACAAGTGATTCGAGGATATTCAGTTTCTTTAAAACATATTCTGGTTCCTCGTCAGAATCACTAAGTGATTCCAGGAACCCCAGTTTAAAAATAGGTTTTAATTCCTCGTCAGAATCAACAATTGATTCGAGCATCTTCAATCTCTTTAAAGGAAATTCTGGTTCCTCATCAAAATCGAACTCGTCCTCTTCCGAACACGAATTTCTCCTTTTGAGTATAGACATTGTTTCCAAAACCAGGACCAAGGTTTGAAGGTTTTGAAATGTACTTTTTTATTACAATTGGTGGAGAGAATCGTGGCAAAAAGGTGCAAATCACTTAGAATATCTTCTTACTAGAATATTAATATCCGGTACTCAATATATAGTAAAAGTGAGAGTAACGCTGTTCTTTTGATTGAATGTTATTAAGACTGAAAAAAAGATGAATAAGAAAGAGAGTTGGAACGTAGATAAGAATAGACGCGAGATTAAAAGCTGCGTTGGTAGTATTGGTGGAGTAAGAGCGGTCGCTTAAATGGGAAAGAAGAAAGGGGTTGGTTTATTTGCCAAATTGAATGTATGTATTGGGTTTATTGAGACTAGAAAGAGCATCAGATTGAATTGATTGATTCTCTAGCTAAGCAGTTAAGCTGCGAGTATATATTCAAAAAATGAAGGAATAAGGTTAGGTATTCAGCCTTCGGAATTTAAGTGCTTTGAAATCAAAATATTGAAAGCAAACAAACAGTATACCAAAAAGGAAAGAATGAATTAAAAGTTGAGTTTTGTTTGCTCCTTATATGCATCATGCAATATATATGCATATGCTGCCAAGATCCCAGGAGGTCAACAGTATGTCTTTGAGAGCAAAAGCCAGAGAAGTACCCAGTCACATAATCAGAAGGTACGATCTCAAATTTATTACACTCATCGTTCCTTCCACTATGTTCGAGATTACTTAGCATTAAGATATTTGGATATGAGTAGAAAATAGCAGGTAAACATGTATCCGTAAGCCGACCTTGCGCTTAATAACTAAACAAACAATATGATAATGCCTAATCAAAATCAAATAAGCATAAGATTCATCGTGAAGTAACATCCACCGAGCTACCCTCACCAAATATCAATTAAGTCTGGAACAAAGAGTAATAACAAGCTAATAAGCCTTACATTGGATCTTGGTGATAAACTACTTTCATATCAAAGACATAGTTTTTGAAATCGGACGAGAAACCAGTATATAAAACAATCGATTTTGTACATAAAATATCTATTTGTTATACATCACTGCAGGAAACATGAATGCAACCTTTTCAATGGAACCTTCTTTGGAGAATTCAGAATGACCTATGTAAATTATTCTTTATAAAGACAAAGTAAAATTTCGACATTGAGCCTTATAGACTCTTATGATGATCAATTTTGGGCTTTAGGCTTTTGGATGGAGCAATAATAAACAGAATAGAGTTAATAAGGAAGAAAGGAATGTATTAAGTCCTATGGAAAAGCTGTCGTTTGTTAGCATATCCAAAACTCGTCAAAAGAAAACAAATTTGAAGTGGAATCATTGAGCGGTAGCACATGAAGCTTGAGCTCATAGTGAATATGTTGAAATGAAAGAATAATTTCTATGACACAATGAGTTACATCTGAGAGACTCTAACAAATTTCTTTTTCAATGGTATTATAGGTTACAATGAAAACTATATCATAAAGATGTCTTGGTCCCTTTTAATCAGTCTAAATTCTCTGTTGAGGAATATATAAGAGTGTGCTGCAGCTCATCCCAGAATCCGATGAATAGATTGTGTTTCTCACACTATTTGCAAATTTGACGATCCTTGAAAGTTTTGATTCCGCGCCAGAAGCTTAATAGATAGTACTCAATACTTTCTTTACTTCATTCCTGTCAGTAAGTGAGTCATCAATGCATTACTCCTGGACTTTCTGACTTTTTACAGACTCAAGGCCGTTACTCAAACGAGTTCCGGGGCCATCTTGAATCTATTCACCATGAGTGAACCAAGAGATATTCCTCCTTTTATTTCCACAACAAATGTCCAGCAAATCGTCTATGATGGGCCGGATTCTGCTCCTGGATCATCAATTCCATCCATTACCGGACCCACCAGTAGCCCAATGGAATTGCTCATGGGTTTTCAAAAGATCCAGGAGGGTATTGACTTGATTGCTGAAGGGATGAAATCCGAGGACATCCAGGTATCAACTACGCCTAGTCCCATAGAGCAGAAAATAAATTTCTTGAATCAGCATACAGTTGGCAGCGAAAAGAAAATTCCTCCATTTGCTGGTAATGTCAACCCCTCAAATCCTGATCCTAACCTTGAAAGACCTCAACGCGGTCCAAATGATCAGCCCTACCAGCAACAGCAGAACCTACATAAGAGCCTTCTTCATCAAGTAAAGCTCTTGGTCGAAAGGTTCGAGCAACTAGCCACCTCAAACGAACGTAACAGTAATGCCATTACTAAGCTTACGGAGAAACTCGGCGATCTCAAAACAAATTCAGTATCCTTTGATGGGCTTCTGGAATTTCTCGAGCAAAACTTCCGTACTCTTATCCTCAGTGCTCATGAACTTGTCGATGAAAAGCCTGCTTTTGCTGATCTCATCCAGCTTAATCAAAGCTCCAAATATAACAAGCCGGGTGTATGGCGTAAGTCGCACTTTGAGATTTAATCAAATCACCCTAAACTTGTATCAACCCTTAACTATCCAATAAACAGAAGGTATAACCCTCCAAACCCAAGATCGACCATTCACGGTCCGCGTCTTGATGCAGAACATTCAAACCGTTATCTCGAATCTTCATCCCGACAAACCTACAAAAGAAATCGAGCTTGTGGAAGTTTTTTTCGTCTGGGATGATGATGTAATGAATGACTATTGCGTGGGTGTTCATAAGATTAGATATAGCCGTATTTTGGGTCGAGGAGAGGCTGACGCGTGTACCCAAGAGGACGCTCTTGTCAACAATAGTCTGGAGGCGATGATGGCAAGAGCTAATCAGGGTTATATCCACGTCAAGTATCGTCTTGATAAGGTTGAGCATGGGAGGTAGTGTGGACGTGAGAGGAATTAGAAGACGGATGCAGGTTTGTGTTGGGAAGTGGGGAGTTTTCGGGCTTTTGCAATGACAAATTTGCGGCAGCTGAAGTAAGCGGAGCGGTTATTGATTCAGTAGCCTCTTCGAAATAGATTGCAAAAAATTGGGTTTTCGTCGTCTTTATCATGATGGATCAATGATTACCTGAAAGATCATCGCTCATTACCTATTATGTTAAAGACAGCCCCTTTTGCAAGGGCTTTACCCTATATAAATTCCTTATCATGTACGGAGAAACTGCTGCCTTTGAAGAATTCAGGCCAACATGAACTTACTAGTAAAATGCATCCAGGCCAATTAATAAATGATATGCCTCGTACTTTCCTCATAGAAAGAAATTTCATGGAGTAAAGCCGGCGTTTGCATTGAATCTTTAATGTGGCCCCCGATCAAAAGCAACTTCTGAAAAGGAAACCGCGACCTAGATATCGGTTATTCTGCTATGCTCTCAAGTACAAACAGAACACAGAAGAAAATCAATCATCTATTCATCAACTTACTTGCATACATATCACAAGTAGATCTAAGGCCCTTCGAATCGTTAGACAAATCATTATTCAAGGGAATCAGTCACTTTTCATCAATTTTCTTCTGTCCACAAAGACACGAAGTTATGTCGCCCTTCCTTCTATCTTCAGAATCATATTTCTACATCAAAGTGCGTTTCGGCAAGGAAACCACCGATAATGGCGAAGATTCATGGTCAAGACGGTGGTACATTTCTGAAGACATCAGTTACGAAGAACTCGTGCAAAAATGTAACTATTGTCTCATGGAGGAATACCCCGACACAGATTTGTCTCGGTATAAATTGCATATCAATATGACGTCGGAAAGATTTCCGGTGATCACTGCAGCTAACATCGCTGAAGCAATGAGAGATGCGAGATTCAATGAGGATATATGCTTGATGACGCCGTCTTATGTCAAGTATCCTAGGTCTTCTGTGGCATCTTCAAATCTTTGAAATTAATATCGACAAGTAAGTCAAAGTTTCCAAGATTTGAGCTGTGGCTGTGGCGATGTCTTGTTGACATTTCCAGCTGAAACACTTCCTGAATTTGAGGCCTGCATCTCAAATTGAGAAGCCACGAGTATTGGGGAGGTGCCTTCCCTTGTCAGAAAACCCATCACACTAAAACTTCCTCTTATGCTATTTTCAACATCAGCTTCTTGATTTCCTTTCTCCGTTCAAAAACAATCATTCACTCTTTTTGGTCTTAAATTTTGAAGAACACATACACATACAAAACAAATAAAACAAAAAATGAATCTTTCAGCATTCAAGCTGTTGGCCCTCCTCTTTGGCTCGACCTTGGCCACCATACCTACACCGCCAGCTGTCTTATCAGCACTTCCGCAGTCAACAATTGAGCCAGATCTTACTGCAATAACTGCGGCACAAGCAACCCAACGGGCAATTTCTCCCGTTTCTGACGTCGGTGGTGAGGTGTTTAGCAGATTTGTTCAGATATGGCTCGAGAATATGGTAAGATATCATCATGTTTGCTCGCACACTTGGATTTGTACAACCATATTTTACCATAGACTGACATGTTTGGTATAGGATTACAAAGAAGCTACCAATGACCCTAATTTCCGATGGCTTGCTGCTCAAGGCATAACACTCACCAATTATTGGGGAGTGACACATCCGTCTCAACCAAATTATTGTGCAGTTGTCGGAGGTGACACGTTCGGCATGGATGCAGATGAATTTCTTCAAATTCCTGCCAATATATCCACTGTAGTAGATTTACTCGACACCAAAGGTATTTCTTGGGGCGAATACCAAGAAGATATACCATATGCTGGCTTTGAAGGCTGGAACTTTTCGGCCACAGATCCATTCCAACAGGATTATGTACGCAAGCATAACCCACTGGTGATGTTTGATTCAGTCACCAGCAACGCTACCAGACTTAGTTTGATCAAGAGCTTCAAGTTGTTTGAAGAAGATCTGGCGAACAAGACTCTACCCCAATGGTCTTTTATCACACCGAATATGACAAATAATGGCCATGATACTAACGACACAGTCGCCGGAAATTGGTCTCGCATGTTCCTTGAACCTTTGCTCGCCAACGACTATTTTATGAACGATACCCTGGTCGTACTCACCTGGGATGAGAACAACGAAGACGACGAGGAAAATAAGATGTTTGCTATCCTTCTTGGTGGTGCAATTCCACCTGCTTTTAAGAACACTACCGACAATACTTTCTACAACCACTATAGTATGCTTTCAACCATAGAGCTTAACTGGGGACTCCCTTCACTTGGTCGCTGGGATTGTGGTGCAAATGTCCTTGGGCTTGTTGCAAGCAAAGCGGGATACGACAACTATGCGGTCAATACCACTAAGCTACTTTTCAATTCGTCCTACCCAGGTCCTCTATCATCCGAGAGATTCGATCCCGTTTGGCCTTTGCCCGACACGAAATCAAATTGCGGTTCAGGTCAGGGTGTATTGAAAAAGATCATTGATGAATGGGGCAGATCTGATGGCACATACAATGTTCGTATTCGTTCACAGGATTTGCTTTATTCCATACTAAAATCTACTCATCGATTCCACACTCCATCCACTGCTCCTCTGCTCAAAACACATCCTTCAATTTCCCATTCTCAACCAACAAGTTTGTGCGGTAATGACTTGCTAACTCTCTAATCTGCAACAGTATACCGACTCATATCCATATGATAATGTCAGTGGTGATAACACAGGAGGTGAAGCCAGTCCGGCAACTACGTCAATTTTGCCACCAGCCACAACTGTCGTACCCTCTTCACCTCTTCCTTCAAAGAAGTCAGAGGCTATGGACTTGAAGTATGGTGGAGGTAGCTCTGTAGCATTGATAATGGGATTTGTTTTTGTCCTGTTGATGGGTTGAGAATCTTGGGCGTCCGACAGGCGAGCAATTGTATCGATATGAGGAATTTTTGGAACTCCTATGAGTCGCAGGTTTTCTTAGTATCAAAGCTCAATTATGCCTACCCGATCAGGCATTCGTTCCTTGTTGGAAGCCATAGTCTTTAGTTTTCTCCAATACATTGTCTAGTTCAATTAGCGGATCGATCTGTTCCATCCTTATTGCAGATTTCGACACCCAGGCGTCCGCACCTGTAATTGGCGAACTGTGAAAGCCCATTTGATTGTTTCAATCCGAATTGGAACATTGAAAAGTGCTGTTAGGCATAGAGAGGTGCACAGACTTTGTAGGTGGAAAAGCCCACTTGGCTCACTGGAGGCTGATGCCAATGCCCTCATTCATCTTGACTCATCGTTGTGCAACCTCTCCTATCCCCTCTATAAGATCTGCATCTTGACATACTAGGTATGTTCACACCCCATGTTCCACAGCACGCCGGACTAGATAGCAGACGAACCAAAAACCTAAAGAGTGCTGCTGTGTTTCGGCTGCACAACATGATTATTCCTGCATTTGATATGGGTGTCTGCTTGTTGATATGGGGTGGCCCGTACATGTTCATCACTGAGGAAAAGCTCCAAACTGAAATGGTTGGTTTCGTTTATTGGAAGTGATGTATACTGATCACGATGATCAATCCATTTCAGTCAAATAATTGTTATTACATTACCCGTGAAACACAATACCACCCATGCAACGCCATTGTGATCATACACAGCGTGGGATGTTATAGAACCAGCGAACGGGTTCTCGTCCGGACTGCCACACGCAAGCTGCAGAAGACCCAAAGTGTTCATAAATTGATAATGGTGAAAAGTGGGGCTACCAATAAATTACTCGACCAATCAGAAATTGGGAATTACCTGCATGCTTGATTTCATCATGATAAGTGGATAAGAATTTTGTCAAAAATCCTAGAGTTACACCTGACTTACCTATTTTGGAAAGCCACAGGAACCAAAAAAAGATGGAAAATGACGAGCCTCACTTTACTCCGTAGTTATCTGGTTATTTTTATGCTTGTCATATATTCATATCCTCAAGGCTCAAGGCCACAAATCATATTCCAAGGTTATTCATCCTATTTTATATTAACCTTATTAACCTTATTAACTTGACTTTATTTGTCCCAAGCGTGGAATACAGAACACAGAATCCAGAATCCAGAATAGAAAAGTCGTGCACCTTGGCCATATTTTCTCCACTATATCCATCACTCAAACTATACCCTGACCTGACCGCAACATGTTACCAATTATATATCACTCACAATAATACTACGTAACTTGATGTTGGAGACCCAGAACATTCAAAATAGCTTCCTCCCAGGTAGCTTCTAATCCCTCCTCTAAATCACGACCGAATCAGCTCCATCGACTCAACAACGATAAGATAACCTCTTCGAGTAGTCTGGACAGGGGAGGGAGTTTATACAGTGATAAGCGTCAACATCTACCCAAAGATAACGAAGAAATCGAACTTGTTGAATATCCTAGCGCACAAGACGGCCAAGCTCCTGAATCGCATTTAACAGAGAGGGACAGAAAAAGGGCGGAAAAGAGAAAAAGACTCGAGGAGGCAGATGAAATGAAGTTCTCCCATAGTATTCAGTTCAATGCTGTTCCAGATTGGAGTAGTCATTACATTGCTTATAGCAATCTGAAGAAGTTGTAGGTTTTGTCGCGAATTGAATTATTGCGAGAAATGATGCTGATAAAGTTTTTTTTAACACGCAGGATATACCAACTCGAGAAAAATATTCATCGTCCTTCTACTGCCGCCGAAGATGCCGAAAACTCTCCTCTTATAAGAGCGGTCGAAGATCCAGATGCTATCTTTCGCAGAGCGCTGGATGCGGAATTGGAAAAGATATCTTCTTTCTATGAATTGAAGGAGCGCGAGATTTTTGGCGAGGTATCGGAACTATTGAAGGAGGAAGAGGCATTTGACGCCGAAGTTTTGGAAAACAATCAAGCAGATGGAATGAATGGATCAGATGGCGTTGGTCATCCAAGAACCTCCAGCAGCGATCGTCCGCGACAAGGTAGCATTTTTAAGCCTTTCGTTCCAAAGGGAAGGCGGCGTTCAAGCACAATGAGTCGATCAATAGATGAAGGCGCGGAAGATAGTGATGATGATGATGACGATGAGAATACCGCGCTGCGCAAAACATCCAGGCCAACAAATCAACGAAGCAAAAGCTCTCCTTATGATGCGAATACTGGGAGACCTGGAACTATCGAGGATATGCGTGCTTCAGCAGAGTTGATCAAGCCCGGACGAAGGAATAGCCATAACTATGAGGATTTCGCGGAGCAAGCTTTCAATGCATTATATTCGTCGGGAATTACGTTGAAAAAGCGCGCCGTGGGCTTATATGTCTCACTCTGTGAACTGAAATCCTTCGTTCAGCTTAATCAGACAGGTTTCAAAAAAGTTTGCAAGAAATATGACAAGATCTTGTACAGAAATCTGAAGTCTAAATACCTCCAGGATGTGGTAGCTCCCGCATATCCTTTTCGACCGGAAACACTTAAACACATTGAGGAAAATATATCACGAATCGAGCGCATGTATTCCAATGTGGTAACTCAAGGGGACGTCGACATGGCCAAAAAGGAATTACGATCACATCTACGAGAACATGTTGTTTGGGAAAGAAATACAGTCTGGAGGGAAATGATTGGTATTGAGAGAAAAGCTCAGGCTGCGAATATGGGTATCCGCAGAACTTTACTTGGTGCGGATAATGATCCATCCAAACTCCGATTACAAGGGGATGATGCCGATATACCTGACATGAAGGAACTTTCAACACCAGTTGGAAGGGTGAAATGTCCAAGATGGCTCTTCAGTTCGACGATGTTCACATTGATTGGAATTATCACTGTCTTTATTCTACTACTGCTTATTCCAATCATGGAGAAGCCAGAGCAGCAAAATTGTTTAGCAATGCTGATATTTGTCAGTTTGTTATGGGCTACTGAGGTAACTAAATCCGTGAAAGCCTAAAATCTTCTTTTACTAACCCCGTCCAGGTCATACCCCTCTTCGTTACATCTCTCATGATTCCCTTCCTCTGTGTACTTCTTAAAGTGGTCCGCTCTGATGATAAACCTCATCATCGATTGGAAGCTCCAGCCGCTGCGAAGTATATCTTTTCCGCAATGTGGACTCCAGTCATCATGTTACTACTTGGTGGATTTACAGTAGCAGCAGCATTATCAAAATATGACATTGCTAAGAGAATTGCCACTTTCGTCCTAAGTAAAGCGGGAACAAGGCCAAGAACAGTACTTATCACCAACATGTTCGTAGCAGCTTTTGCAAGTATGTGGATTAGTAATGTTGCGGCACCTGTTTTGTGCTTCTCAATCATCCAGGTAAGCATATACCTCTAATCACTAAGATCTGTCACTAATAATACTAGCCTATGCTTCGCAATCTTCCTTCTGAATCTCAAATGTCGAAAGCAGTCATTCTTGGCATTGCACTTTCGTCTAATATTGGTGGAATGCTCTCTCCCATTGCATCTCCTCAAAATATTGTCGCCCTTCAGATTATGTCTCCACAACCAGATTGGGGTACTTGGTTCTTCATCGTCTTGCCAGTTGGTATAATTTCCATTGTCCTTATTTGGATTCTTTTACTTCTTACCTTCAAGCCTGGCCGTGGAACCACAATTGTTCCCATTCGTCCAGTCAAGGATGCATTCTCTGGTGTTCAATGGTTTATTACCCTTGTCACTTTGGGTACCATCGTTCTTTGGTGTGTAAGTCATCAACTCCAATGGATCTTTGGTGATATGGGTGTGGTCGCTATCATTCCAATTATTTTATTCTTCGGAACTGGTATCCTAACTAAGGAGGATTTCAATAATTTCTTATGGACGATTATAATTCTTGCTGCCGGAGGACTTTCCCTTGGTAAAGCTGTCAATTCATCTGGATTGTTACATACTATTGCTGGTGAAATTACTGCGAGCGTTGAAGGATTCAGTCTTTATAGCGTACTCGTCGTATTTTCTTGCCTTGTCTTGGTTGTTGCGACTTTCATTAGTCATACTGTCGCAGCTCTCATCATTCTCCCATTAGTTCATAGTGTAGGTGCAGGCATGGAAGAACCACATCCTAATCTTTTGGTCATGGGTGCTACATTAATGTGTAGTGCTGCTATGGGATTACCTACTAGTGGATTCCCTAACATGAGTATGTATAATCTTTTGTTTCATTTACATTTAAAACAAATGCTAATAAATCATAGCGGCAATTATGATGGAAGATTCACAAACAGGATTAAGATACTTACAAGTGAAACATTTCATCACTCGTGGCGTACCAGCAAGTATCCTTACATGGCTAGTGGTTATTTCAGTTGGATATGGTTTGATGAGGGTGGTTGGGATGTAATATATTTTTTTTTGATTTTTTATCATTTAGATTGTGATGGGATGGGAATGTATGGGAAAGGGAAAGGGATTAAACTAAATAGGCATGCATGCAGCATTGGCAGCGAGAAGCAGCGAGAAGCAGCGAGAAAGTTAGACATTTTTGAATCGATTTATTGTAAGTAGAATGGATAGGATAAGAATAGCAAATCATAAAATTTGAATGGGTAAAAATCTACATTCTCATCATTGACGTCTCATTCCTCAACAATTATCATGATACAGGAAGTTTTTCATAAGGAATGCAGAATCAGAAGTTTTTCGTGTTTTGTGTGTCAGTGTGTCAATGTGTATGTGTGTTTATAGGGAGCTATCTCCCCTAAATATCTTTTTCCTTTCCTTTTTTTTCTCTCGGTTTTTTCTTGCTCTGTCGACTTGAGGTTATTTGGTTTGGTTTGGATAAAATCGGTTCTTACATCATTATCACCACCACCGGCACACTCCTTTACAAAACTCACCACGAAAATAAGAAAAAAATAATAATGCACATCCCACTCCCCACCGTCGCTCTCACTCTCGCTACTCTCCTCCCTCTCATCCACGCTATCGCTCTCCCCGCCGGCACCCTCGAAACGCGAACCGAAAACCTCATACCCTATAAACTCCGCAACATTTCCCCCCGTCAAGTAATAAAGCGAAAGGGAACTCATACTGCTTCGAATGTGCGTAGTTTCTCCATCCTTTCCCATCCCATTCCATCCCATCCATCTTATCCCCCCGACCCAAAACAAAAACACACACACACACTAACCCCTATAGGCATTCTGTCCCTCCCCCCGCACAGCCTACTGCTGCAACAGCAACACGAAATCAGGAGAAACAATTTGTAAATGGAATGGGGATGGAAATTTAGCGGGCTGTGAGTTGGTTACGGGCGGGGAAAGTGTTTGTTGTGGGGAGAGGGGGTGTGAGGGATTGGTTGGGGTGAGGGGGAGGGTTAGTGTGGTTGGGGGTGGTGTTTAGGTTTTTTTGGGGGCGGGTGGAGAAACGTGGGGGGGGGGGGGGGGGGGGGGAAGAATGGAAGTGGTATGAGATTTTGAGTGAGGGTGACATGCCAAGGGATGGTGAAGAATGGATTTGAGTCGGGGAAGGGAGCGTTAACGTTATGAGATGATATGAAGGGAAGGAAAGTCAAAATTGGGAAAAGAATGGATTGAGTAAATGGTGGTATGAAACGAATCCTGAAGCAGGCATAGGAACTATACGAAAGAGGACAAGCCACAGGATATCTATATTTTGACGTTGAAGTTGGAATTCGACAATTTTCTTTCTCTCGCAGCAATATTTATTTCAAGTTAGTTTGGGGTCTTTCAAATTGAGAATTGAGAATTTAGAATTTTTGATTGTATTGTTGCTTGCTTGCTGTTATTTTCTTTTCCTTTTTGTTTTTTATTTGAGAGGGTTTGTGGTTTGGAAATAGATGGATGGGTGGATTGATAGATGGGTGGATGAATGAATAGATGGATGATTTGTTTGTTCAGATACACACTTTGAGATAATTGAGATATAGTAATCTTACTTTCTTGGTGGGTTAGGGTTGTGTATTAGGTTCTGATGAAAACCTATCTTTTTCTCACTGTCATTCTACTTACTATTCCTACTTCTAAAGTTTTCTAGTATTGATATTCTCTATCACCCAGCTTTACCTTTCAAAAATCAAAACTCGTATATGTGAAGTGTTCGAGAGAGGGTAATCGACGGGCTGAAAGTATACCTTGAATGTGTCGATATTGCTTTACTGATCTTGAAGATTAGATTGATGTCAATTTATCTCTTCTGTTATATATAAAGCTATTAATACAAGGTAATAAGCTTGTATTTATAGCATCGTGGGTAAGTATATTATCGATACTCAATCTAGGGTCAAGGTAGGAAGAAGTATCGATAATAATTATACTGTTTAAATTAACAATAAAGTTTAGAGAGGACTTTATTTTATTAGTCTCATATATATATTGGTATGCAGAACTGGCTTTCGAATATGTTGGCCAAATTGTCTGTAACGTATGACCTTATCAGGGCAAAATGATAAGCTATCTAGAACCATCCAAGTAGCATTCATCTGCAAGTTTAGATTTAGCACCTACATGGTAAAGTATAATACTCGGGCTGGTCTTTGAAGAGGGCCAGGGGCTTAGCAAAGTATAATTCTACAACAAAAATCATTCATTTCAAAGATTTTTATAAATTCAATGAATGAACATATATACTTCAAATTTCAAAAAAAAAAAAAAACAATAGATATTTATTGAAAATTTAATATCTCAGATTTTTTACATTTATATATCAAAAAATATTATTGATTTAAATTTATAATTTTTTATTTTCAATTAAATAATTTTAATTTATAATAAAATAAAAAAGTGTCTTCCTAATACATAATTAAAAATTTAGTAGATATTGATATTTATTTCAAATACTATATTAAAATATTGAAAATTGAATCAATGTACATTTTACAAAAGGTAAACTTTTGATAATAAGAATTATTAAAGCTTGGGCCCGGCCTTCTTCAAAGATTAGCCCGAGTAGGGCTTCACCTGGTTAGATAACTGACAACCGAATCCAACGTATTAATGAATACTCGTATGAAAGGAACGGGCATAATAGTAGATACACAAGAATCGTAGATTACCAAGAACGTGATTCGGGTAGTGGAGTCTTAAGGAAATGAAAATATCCTGCTTTCATGAGAAGTCGATGGTCATCACGTATCTAAAGCTCTAAATCTCCAGACCTTTAGTCAAACAAGTAACTTAGTAAGAATTGTTTGAGTAATCTGAATATGATTGACAAAAGTGTTTGGAATCCTGGTCGTTTTCTGACCGATTATTCTCGACTAAGCCGCTCGCTGGGAAGTGGCAATATTGAGAAACTTGGAAAATCTGCTACCTGCAACTACTATCTCGCTACCAACTTTAAAATAGGAGACGTGAATGAAGTCCTCATTTCCCTGCAATAAATTAATATGTATCTTCTTATACTAATATGAACTTCTCCTCTGATATAATTGTATGTTCCACATGAAAACGCCGTGGGACAAAAAGCTATAGCTAACGATCAATCAACTGGAAAAATTAGATTCTATTTCAGATTGTATAAACCACCAAATATTACAATTCAAAGCTGTAAGGTTTATGAGATAGCTTAGAGCCAGAGGTCTTCATTCGCAGATCTCATTAAATTCAATTTACAAGTTACAAGTTACAAGTTACAAGTTACAAGTTACAAGTTACAAGTTACCTAGCTAGGTAGTTGTAGCTTAAATGAAATGCCAGCTTCTACCCTGACTCTACTTTTAAGGATACCCTGTGCATTACCCGAGCTCTTCCAGATCACATTGTTGATCTACGGGAAATGAAAATAAAAGCTATGATGGCATAATACTTCTATGAGCTCTGTTTGCACTAATAAAAGCCCAATGTTGAAGTTGATCATCTCGCTAGTTCTAGTAGATGAGGCAAAGCCCTTGTTCTAGTGATTATTTAAGCGAGCCATAAGTCTAAAACAACTACGCGCGACAAGCAGCTTTGTGCAACGTTTAAGTCAAAACCATGGCTTGTGAGTGATTAACCCACCGGATGAGCCAAGTAAAGCATAATCAAGGCGGCGAGTCCCCATATAAGGTTACCATCCTACGTCACCCCAGTCAACCCTATTCCACCTCAGCCGAAATTCATCATTGCAAAATCTAGGCCGCTGTGAATGCCTTTAACATGCGCTGGGTGTAGTGGTTTGATTGATATCCTTTTGAAATAGGTGGATCCTACACCCTGGTTATTGCACAAGCGAAGCTAACACAGCTCCACTCTACAGAACATATTCGGTAGCCGGGCAGTCGATGATGTCAATTATTTCTTTTTATGTGCTTATAGTAATGTTTGTGGGCCCTAGATTTTGATATTAAAGACAATAAAGATTCCATATAAAGATCGATTGCCTTGTAGTTTTTGAGTACATCCGAGATAGTCTTCTGCATCAAGGGCCGCCAGAAGTGTCTGTATTTTGCTTGAATCCCGTCTTAATGATCGGTGCCCGGCTTGCTAGAGATCAGATTAGCAACTTCAAGGCAGAGCGTCCAGTAGTCCGGAATGGAAGACTAGATTTCAGCTTTCAATAATGGAAATTCTTTGAACATTTGGATATATTTCGATATTTCCAATAGTCTAGAATACTTTAATCATATTTAACATTCCATATGATTCACTGTTTGAATTGATTTGAATATCTCAAATAGAGATAAGATTCCAGAAGCTTCTCATTTTTGGACTGCAGTCTAGACTATTGGACACCTTGCTGCAAGGTAAGCCAGGTGATGAGCTTTAATTATAAACTTATATACAAGAGAGTCATCAAAACTCCGTCATCGCTGCTGGGTCATCTCCTTCGGAACCTTCGATATGATGAGAAAGTAGCGATTATCATAAATAACTATAAAAACCACTAATATGCAATCTGCAATATGTCTTTGCAACTCGTTGACAGTTCTTGCCTGTCGGCTAAGTGTCGATGCGAAGTTTGATGCATCTACATGACTGGTGCATTTTTCGCGACGTGTTTTTTCTCTTCAATATACAGTTGTTTTTCGTTGATTAAAGCCGCTGATCTCTCTCTAGTAACTGCACTTCTACCTTTTGCAGCCCGATATATACCAGCCCCATCCTTTCGTACTCAAAATGTCATCACACGACCAGGGTATCTGCATCACTGTTAGTAGTAATAACAGGTGTATATTTCTCTCGCTCTGTATATTAGTGCATTCTCTTCATCCGTAAACAAGGAGCTTAATCACCACCTAAGCTTGGGGATCTCTACTGCTTTCTCCGCTTTTTCTCTTGAGTCATACACATGTTCAGCATATTGCTTTAGGATAGAAAGAAGCCTCCGCGCACTTGAGACTAATACAACCTCTTTTTCCGTTTCCTAGTAAAAGTAAGAAATCCGAAGGTGATGATAATAATTTCCGAGAGATATAGAATATAATACAGGAATAGTTGGCTATGGAAACCCTTAATTCTTTGCCTGAAGGAATACTACGATAAATTTCTTTCAAAAAACAGCTGGTCTGGGAGTGAATATTATAGTTTTATATGGTTTTAGTGAGATCTTTAGGTATAGGGGTACTACCTCTCATGTGGTCGCTTCCAACAATTCATTTAACTAGGTATTTAGGAAACAATCTCACAAGACAATGTCTAATATAAAAGAAAAACGATCCGAACACGCCTTAAATATCATAGATTGTACAAAGCGCAATAAGTAAAAAAATCAGTATAAAAAACTGTAAATACTGTAAACTTTATTTGTTTTATGAGTTAATCATAAAGGATATCTCTATATACTCTATAGCTTTTGTCAGCCAGCAATATATCTATTTATAAACGCCGTTTTGTTGAAAATACAACCCTAACACGTTGAATGTGTTTTTAGCCCCCTCATATAACTAACTTGTTGAAACGCTAATCGAAATGCAAAACTAAATATGTAAAAATGAATTATTTTTAAAAGAGACCGTCAATTTCCCCGGTCTCAATATCAACATCGACGTTAAGGTATCCAGGTGCGGTTGGAAGTCCAGGAATAGTTTGGATATCTGCTGCAAGTGCATAGCTATAATGATGTTAGGAAAAGTAACGAAAGTATCGTGCAGGGAAACTTACAGGTAACCAGCTCCAGCAGCTAATCTTACATCCCTAATTGGAACAGTGAATCCAGTTGGTGCACCCTTAAGATCTGGGTCATGGGACAAAGAGTATTGGGTCTTCGCAATACAGATTGGCAAGTTTCCGAAACCTTGCTTAGTGTATGTATCAACCTTCTTCTGAGCGATCTCGCTGAACTCAACCTTATCAGCTCCATACATCTCTTTACCAATAGCTTCAATGCGAGTCTGAACATCTCCGTCAAGACCGTAAAGAAGTTTGAAGTTCTTCTCTTTCTCGCTTGCAGCGATGACACCCTTAGCGAGATCAACAGCTCCCTTACCACCTTCAGCCCAGTGGTTAGCTGGAATGGCATCTTCGGCACCAGCAGCAATAGCCTCTTCTCGAATAACTTCAATCTCGGCGTCGGTATCAGTCTCAAACTTGTTGATTGCGACAACGACTGGTACACCATAAGATTTGGCATTGGAGATGTGTTTCTTGAGGTTGACACAACCCTTGCGAAGAATCTCAACATTCTCCTCTCTGTAGATTTGATGAAGAGCGGAACCAGGAGCGATTGGTGGGCCACCGCCGTGAACCTTGAGCGCCCGAACAGTTGCAACAACCACGACAACGTCTGGAACGAGTCCGGATGACCTGCACTTAATGTTGAAGAAACGCTCTCCTCCCATGGTAAAATCGAAACCTGCTTCGGTGATGACAAAACCAGCCTTCTCGCTGTGATTCTCATCAGGCTCAGTACCAGCGAGTTTCAAAGCAAGTTTGTCTGCGAGGACCGAGCTAGCACCAATACTGATGTTTGCAAATGGTCCAGCGTGGACGAAGACGGGTGTTCCTTCCAAGGTTTGCATCAAGTTGGGCTTGATTGCATCTTTCATCAATGCTGTCAAGGCACCACCTGCACCGAGATCATCACAAGTGACAGGATCACCATTTCTGGATGATCCAATAACCATGCGGCCGAGTCTTTCTCTCATGTCGTTTAAGTCGTTACTGAGTGCAAGGATAGCCATACACTCACTAGCGACGGAGATATCGAATCCAGTTTCCCTAGTCTGACCCTTCTCGGTACCAGCAGTACCAACGGTGATACCTCTCAAATGACGGTCATTTACATCAAGAACACGCCTCCATGTGATTGTCGAGGGATCAATGTCTAATCTTGCGAATCGGTGAATCTCATCTTCGGTGAGGTCATCAGGGTTGGTCTTAGTGATACCGAGCTTCTTCAGTCTACGGAACATGATTGGCTGAAATTCACGCTTGCCCTTCTTTGCTGGTACAAGGCGCTTGTAGAGCGGGCCGTCCTTTTGTGTGTTCTCGTGGAACATTCTGGTCTCAATTGCAGCAGCTAATAAGTTGTTTGCAGCCGTGATTGCATGGATATCACCAGTCAAATGAAGGTTGAATTCATCCATAGGAATGACCTGACTGTATCCACCACCCGCAGCACCTCCTTTAATACCAAAGGTTGGCCCTTGACTTGGCTGACGGACATTAGCAAATGCTATGCGATTAAGATGACCAGCAATAGCTTGAGTGAGACCCATAGTGGTTGTAGATTTACCCTCACCAAGAGGTGTTGGTGTTATACCAGTTACAACGACATAACGACCATTGCGTCGGTGTTCAAGGCGCTTGAGTAGGCTCAAGTCCACTTTACCTTTGTATGCTCCGTAAGGCTCAAGTTCGTAACTGGCGATACCAATTTCTTGGGCTACACGTGTAATTTGTTTCGGGCGTTGAGCTCTTGAGATAGCGATATCCGATGGTACCGGGGTTTGAAGTTTTAAAGGCAGAGGCTTGATAGCTCTAGCTTTCTGATGATCAAAGTAAGCTTTTGCAGATTCGACAACATTTTGCAGAAGCATTGCGATGGTCATTGGTCCAACACCACCAGGTACTGGTGTGATCTGGGAGGCAACTTCCGAAGCAGATTCGAAATCGACATCCCCAACAAGTCTCTGACCAGATTTCTTGGTTTCGTCAGGAATAAAGTTAGTACCGACATCAATGACCACTGCACCCGGTTTCAACCACTCTCCTTTGACAAAGTTGGCCTTGCCAATGGCTGCAACAACAACATCTGCATTCTTGATGAATTGCTCAAGGTTTTGGGTCCTTGAATGGCATACTGTCACAGTAGCATCGGCATTTTTGAGGAGGTAACTGGCAGGGCTTCCCACAATATCGCTGCGTCCAAGAACGACCGCATTCTTGCCCTTTAGATCCACACCGCTCTCCTCGAGTAAGACCATGACACCTTTTGGCGTGCATGGTGTGAAAAGAGGACGTCCTCCACGCTTCGCAAGTTCTCCAATGTTTGATGCTCCAAAGCCATCTACATCCTTCTCATCAGATACAGCAGAAGTTATAGTGTATTCGGACATATGCTTGGGGACCGGCAATTGAACAAGAATACCATGAACAGACGGATCATTGTTCAGTCGCTCGATTTCGTCAAGAACCTCGGCTTCGGTTGCGGTTTCAGGGAATGGAATAAGTTCGCATTCAATGGCTGCCTAGATTTCCATGAAATAAGTCTAAGCTCGAAAGAAATCATGAAGAATCGCTAACCTCTTGTGCCGCCTTCAACTTCATACGAACATAGGTTGCTGTATAACCATTAGTGAGTCATTTTTGACGTGTTTCACTCACAAATACATACTCGAGTCAGAGCGATCGCCCACTGCGAAGGATCATATTAGAATAAACTTCTCATAACTTTCTCGTTGGGAATTACCTTGAATGATCTTCAATGAAGGCTTGAACCTTGGGTTTGTCTTTTGGGCATCGTCGATTTCGGCATGAATCTTTTCACGAATTTTCTTCGCGATAGCAGTGCCATCGATCTTTGTGGCTGTCATTGGTGCTGGAGTACTTGAGAATTGTCTGGTAGTACTGTTTCGCGGAATGGAGGAAGATATAAGAGATACCCTCGTGGGGGATGAAAAAGTCGCGTGAGATGATTGACCCCGCAGTTGAAGGATTTGCTGGGCAACTCGCGCAAATGAAGCAGAAGGAGATAAGGAACTCAACAAGGCTCGATGCTGAGTAGGAAGAGAAGTTCTTGATCTTAGAATTGAAGAAGAATTGGCAAGAGTGAGACAATTCAAAGAAGGTAACATGTGCGAATTGTAACCATTGAACCGGGCACCGAATGCTGCTTTGGCTCTTTTACCGATCAACATTTCTGTACGTACTGCGCCCCGAATCGGAATGGGATGGTGATTTCGTAAAAGCTCACCCGCAAGAATGGTTGCTAAACCCTTTTAAGAGGAGAATCGACTGTTGAATTCCTTTCAATCTCATGTCAGAATATCTGATAATCGGATATCGATTGACCAATGAAATCATTAAAGATTTAGATTAGCTATAAATTCCATCTAAGTTGGAAACTCTAAACTCTAATCTATTATGGATCTTACTATTGAAAGAGTTTTTTTATTATTTTTAAAATATATTAATAAGAATAAAAGAGTGAGTTAAAAATTAATAAATAATTAATTAATTAACTTAATAATTGTGACGCCTCACACCTCCGGGTCACGTGGCATGCCCCGTTTGTATTTAATCATAGGAAAACTCGCTACTCTTGTTTTCCTTCTTCTTTTCTCCTTAGCTTAGTATTTTCTAATACAAGATACTTTACCCAGTATTCTTGGGTGTGACAATAATTATAATAATTTTTTAAAAAGATTTATTTTAATTTTTAAATATAAATTTTTAAAAATTCAAAAATATGAAATAAAATTGAAGTTTCAAGTTAATATCAAGAAATAATTAAATATATATACTTTTTTTTAATAATATTTTAAAAGAAAGTATATATATTAAAAATGTAAATATATATATATATATATATAATAAATTGATTTATTTAATGTTACGACGGCGTAACATAACCCGCATCAGGTAACCAATTAGTTAGCAGGATCATGTGAGGAGTGTCACCTGATCCGAAAGCCGACCGACTTCGTGAGAATCGATTGTCCCTGAGAATCGATCGGCCCCTCAAGAGTCGATCGACTTTCAGAACACGAAGGTCTATATAATCAAGATGGATTTCCTTTGTATAGAGCTTCGTGCTCAAGATCAATCATTTAGTATACTCTACTATTAGTTACGAATTGCATATCATTATTGTCATTACTTAAGTCCCTGCTTGACGCCTAGTTATAAACCACCTCGAGAGCCTAGAGCACTTCCACGTGATCTAGACGGCAAACCTCGTAACACTCAAGTATTTATATCTTAAATAAAACATTTATAATTATAAATAAAATATATAGATATTTTTATAATCACTCTCAGATCAGATCTTTAACAGATAGATATAATTATCTATTATTATTATTGTTATAAATATCTAGATAAGTCTTATCATTATTATCTATCACAGTTACAAATGAGAAGATGGAAAGTGGATCAATCAAATTCGACTCGTGACCCAATCAAATTACACAACAGCACCAAAATCCCGCATCTGTCCGCATCTTGTCCCCATCCTAGCCTTAAGAACTTTAGAGCCTTCTCTCGCTTATGATTGGTCTTTGATAGCACACATTTGAAGAGTCAAATCGTAGAGGATAATCGAACTTTTTGAGGGGCACGAAACTTATTTTGATCCAACCCTATCTAACAAAACAAACCCCCCCAACCTCCATCATATCGCGATTCTAGTACCTATCAAGACTGAATCTGAATCGCAAATATGAGGCCGATTCTCTTACAAGGACATGTCAGTATAAATATTATCCTATTGACCTTGATACATTATCTCAATCTGCTAACAATCACATAGGAGCGTGCTCTCACACAAATTAGGTATACAACACTCTTTGAAAGAATGCTATAAGCTGGATATTGATGATGGGATAGATATAATAAAGATGGCGACATCATCTTCTCGACTGCGAAGGATCAACACATTTGCGCTTGGTACGCACACAACGGAGAGAGATTAGGCACCTACCATGGTCATCAGGGAGCTATATGGACAGTCGATGTGGACCCAACGACTACAATCATCGCAAGTGGTGCAGCAGATAACACAGTTAGATTATGGGACGTTAAGACAGGAAAATGTTTGAAGACCTGGGATTTCAACACTGCCGTTAAGAGAGTCGAATTCAACGAGGATGCTACACAATTATTGGCCGTCACCGAACAACGTATGGGATTCTTGGGAACGATCGTAGTGTTGGATATCAACCTGGATGTCAATGGACCACAATCGGACGACCGGGCTTTGACTATCACTTGCGCAGAGAGCAAGGCGACTGTTGCGGGATGGAGTTACATGTCGAAATATATTATCGCGGGCCACGAAGATGGAAGCGTCTCTCAATACGATTCCAAGGTAAGGTTCTAGGCTGGTTTATCTATTCTAGATGCTGATGAATCATTTAGACCGGGGAACTACTTTTCAACACTCAAGTCCACGAACCAGATTTGCAAGTCACAGATCTTCAATGGTCCCCCGATAGAACCTACTTTATTACTGCCTCAAAAGACAAGACCGCCAAGGTAAATTACATGCATCCTTTCATACTTGCATTATACTAATTTGTTCAGCTCGTCAATGCCCGAGACCTCGAGGTTATGAAGACCTACGTAACAGACACACCACTCAACAGTGCGTCTATTACACCCAAAAAGGATTTCGTTATTCTCGGAGGTGGACAAGCTGCCATGGATGTCACAACAACCTCAGCACGTCAAGGTAAATTCGAAGCTAGATTCTACCACAAGATCTTTGAAGAGGAGATTGGTAGAGTCCGTGGTCACTTCGGTCCTCTGAACACCGTTGCCGTGGATCCAAACGGCAAGGGATATGCAAGTGGTGGTGAGGATGGTTATGTTAGAGTGCATCAATTCGATAAGGGATACTTTGACTTCACGTATGAGGTTGAGAGACAGGTCAGACAACAATAATTGAATTTATCTGGCTTGTAGGAAAGGTGCATTTGCGGGCGTTTGTGGATCAAATCAAAAGGCTTGTAGAATCTGGACGAAGGTAGAAAGGATGATGGATGAATCTCTTTCTTGAAGAATAAAAGCAAGCGAGTATATTGCAATAGCTTGTGCAAGTCTCGATAAGATGATCAGGTAGATATAATTCAGTGAATAATATGAGTATATCATCAGGAGTTTCAAAACGACATGGGTGTATTTCTGATGTCTGATTACGTACATCACAATGTTACAGAACTAGGTATACAATTTCAATGCATATGAATATCTGAATTCAAGCAATATTATTTATTGATATTCCCACATGTCGATTCCAAATACCTGATATCTAAGGTTAGCAGGACATTTGCTCACCGCCTCAGAATCATCTAACCCGTTTAAGCATCGCGCTATGGCCACAAGAGAATTCTCATGGAGGTAGTTTTCGGCAAAATCCAAAAAATTTACTAGACAATCATAATTCAATCTCAAATTCAAAAATCCCATTTGCAAAAACATCCATCTAAACCCTCGACACAATCTTTCCAGCAAAACAACACTTCAAATTCAAACACAATGGCTGAAATTACAGCCCGCAAGCGCAAAGGTAAGCAATATCTTTCAATGTCCTAAATCAATTATTCTCTAATTATTTAATCATAGCTTCAACTGCAGCTGCAGTCCCCGCGGATGAGGTCGCAAAAGTAAAAAAGGCTAAGAAGTCTCCAAAAACCACCGAAGTCACCAAACCCAAGAAAGCCGCAAAGGTTGTTGAGAAGAAGATTGTCGAAAAGGAAGTTGTCGAGAAGGAAGTTGCCGAAGAACCAGTCGAGGAGTCCGAAGAGGAAGAGGAAGAGGATGATCAGACTGAAGCTCTTTTGAAGGGCTTTGAGTCGGATAACGAGGAGGAGGAGAATGCCAAAGAAGGTGGGCTCGAACCAGGTCAGGAAGTTCCAAACGCTCTCGAGAAACTCAGTAAGAAGCAAAAGAAAGCCATCAAGAAGGCTGCCGAAGAAGCTGCCAATGATCTTCCAGGTGTTGTCTACATTGGTCGCATTCCTCACGGTTTCTACGAGGCGGAGATGAAAGCATACTTTTCTCAATTTGGGGATATTCTCAAAATTCGTTTGTCGAGAAATAGAAGAACCGGAGCGAGCAAACATTATGCATGGATTCAATTCGAGAGTAGGGGTGTCGCAGAGATTGTAGCCAAGACTATGGATAACTACTTGTTGTTCAACCATATCCTGAAGGTTAAATTGGTACCCGATGAGCAACTCCCCGAGGACTTGTTCAAGGGTGCCAACCGACGCTTCAAGAAGGTCCCTTGGAACAAGATTGAAGGTCGCAGATTGGAGCAAGGTGCCGGAGAAGAGCAATGGGAGAAGAGAATAAGCAAGGCCGAGAAAAAACGCGAGATTGCCGCCGAAAAATCTAAGAAAATTGGTTATGAATTTGAGGCACCAAAGATTAAGTCAGCAAAGGGTGTTTCGAAGAAGCCAGTTCCAGAGATCGAAAGTGGTGAGGATGAACTTGCTGGAGATGTGGATGCAGTCATGGCTATCGAGGCTGCACCTGCAGTCGAGGAACCAGTCAAGGCTAAGAAAGAGAAGAAGGTCAAGAAGTCTAAGGTCGTTGAGGAGACTCCCGCTGCCACAATCACTACGGAGGAAACCACCATCACCACCGAAGTTGCTCCAGTCGAGAAACCAAAGAAGGCAAAGAAGGAAGCAAAGAAAGCAAAGAAGTCCAAGGCTTAAACTTAGATTTCCTCTTTTTTTGCTCTCGCTTCCCTGCTCTGCTTTCTCTGTAAATTGCCTGCTTACTTTGATGATATTCCCCGGAGTTATGGTCACATAAAAGAATCTTCGTATATTTCAAAGGGCAATATTTTGAGAGATGTTGCTTCGTCTAACTCGGTTGTCTGATATGTACAAGATGAATGATGGTTAGTACATTTAATATAGAATGTTATGACATATAAATTACTTGCTATTCTTCGCGCGTGTTCGGGATTGTGATGTATTTTATGTCAAAGTGAATTAATATGTGTTTTCGGTAGCATCCTCACTTGTAGACTTATCGAGAGGTTTACGAACTGGTGTATATTACTATTTCGAGGTCCTCCACTCCGTAGATAAAACTCTTATGTGTGATTTCAAGCTAGATTATTTTGGAGGATTTAAGTGACTTGGAAGCTTCAACCAGTTGAAAGATTTATAATTCAAATCCCCTGACTATCAATATATTAACATTTAAAAACTCAAAAAAAGTATTCCGTCTAAAGACCTTCAAAGAGATAGCTAGCTAGCTAGCTATAAGACTTATCCAGGCTGAGAATCGGTTACGCAAAGGGGGAGCAGCTTAAAAGAAAGAAAATATTCGGATAAAAGATTGTAAGCATAGTATTATAAGATTTTCCATATTCTACAATATAATTATCTAGTATCTGAACAATATCTAGGTATCTATCCTACCAATCACATCGAGTAATCCCACCTTCATTGCTAATCATTTTCTTCGACGCCTGAAAAAGACTAATAATCATAACTGCGCCCCCGAAGGCCACACAGGCGCCCGCCATCCACGTTCTCCACGTTCTTGTTGTTAATTTAATATAACATAATGGTGGTAAGATATATGCCAAAGCACACGCACTCGTTGCGCCGATTAATTCAAAGACAGCACCGAGATCACACGTTGCTAGACTTAGCATCATGGCGCTGACGACTAGTGAGGAGGTAAATATAAGATGGAGATGCATGTTGAAGGGTTCTCCGGGGAACCAGTAGTTGAACATTACTTCGCGGCAGACGAAGGCTTCGAGGGGGAGGGTGGTGAGCATGTTGAGGCCGAAGCAGAGACGGGCGAGGTTGACGAGGGGGTTTGTGGAGGGGAAATTATTGAGGACGTTGCCGAGGGTTTTGGAGCCGAAGGTTAGGAACCCTGAGAGGGCCATGAGGAGACAGGCGACCATGGAGATGAAGGTACTGTAGTGAGTTACGGTGGAGAAACGGTCGATGGTGGGGGTTTGGAGGGAGCCGTAGATTAGGAGGGAGTTGTGGTGGCAGACGAAGGCTGTGTGGAGAGAAGGGGTTAGTTGGCTTCGGTGGAGATTGGAAAGGAGGTGTGGACTAACCGAAGGAGATTACGCCAATGGCTTGGAATATGCCGTCGTTTATGGTGAGGAGGGGTGTGGTGAATCCCCCTCGGTCTTCTTTGGGTACCATGAACCCTTGTGTTACTACTGTGAATAATATGATCATCATACTGATCAACGCTAGAGTGCTTGCTTTCGCCAGCTATTTCGAGTAAGCATAACCCCTAGATCATGTGCTCAGAAAACGTACCTTGGCAATATCCCGATACAAACTCAAAGGATAACTTACACCCAGCACAAAAACTACAATAACAGCCCTTCTACTCGCCAATAGTCCCAGCACCGGTACATCTCTCAATCCCGGGAAAACCGCACTCAAAACATGCGGTATCGTATCCCCTACAATAATACAAAAAGCTATCATTCCCCCAAACGCAAAAGCCCATTGCGCAACACTAATGGCAATCAGACCCGTCTTCCCAAAACAAAACTCCACCGTCCCCTGAAAACTATCCCGCCCACTTAATTTCGAATTGATGACAATAAGTCGAATAGTCCAATCCACCGTTATTGTGAGAGCAATTAAAAGAATAACTCCAGTCAAGAGACCCGCTTGACGAAATGCGTAAGGTTGCCCAATGATACCCGCTCCAATTATACTATTCGCCATATTCATAAATGCATTCCGCAGATTGGATTTCGGACGCGATCGTTCGCGTTCAGCCCATGTATGTATATCTTCGTCGTCGGTCCATGGACTAGATGCGACGGTTACGGAGGGCGCTTCAATGCCTGTGAGGAGTGGTGTAAAAGAACCCGTTCGAGATGAGGGATGCGCATGTAATTCCTCGTCATATCCTAGCGATCCATTCCCATTATGCGTATCCGAATCCCCATTTTGTGAAGCAGGTAAATCGAATCGTACACGGTTAGGCGTTCGAGGTGCATGTTCCTGATTCTGTCCTTGTTCTCCTGCTCCAGAATGAACTATGATATCCTCATCTTCACTTCCTGCTTCTTCTGCGAGAAGTCCAATGTCTTCTTCGGGATTGTGACTTGCAGGTTCGCCATTTCTGCGATTGCTGTGCGATTTGGCTTTTGCCATTTTGACTATCGTGGTAGCATTGTTGTGTAATATTGCGTTTGGAGCTTTCAATGCTCTGGCTAGAATGGTTTCGTAACTCGAAGGTGCGGATTATGCGGCCGCGACGTCGCATGCAGTTTTAGCGTGTTTCTAAGAATAGATCTTCATTTTTTTATATGGATTTGAACTTCTCTACATTGGTTTACAAGTGCATAGAGGTGTTTCCAAACTTCCTAGAAAGACTATTTGGCAATTGTTAATCTTTATTTCATGGTTTGTGGACGGAAAGTTGTACCTTAGATCAATCTCCATCAGACTCGAACATCACCTACTAACATGCGAAAAGTATTTTGGAGGGGAAATCACTCAACCTTTCAATTCTTTCGGGTTTATCCAAGATGGGGCTCTTTGAGGCAATACTCAACGAAACCTCAAACTAGATTTCTTAAGAGAACATATAACGTGCTATCCAAACTCACAGCGCGTCATCAAGATGAAGGTTACATCTCAGAAAATATACAGGACAAAAGTGACCCTTTTCAAGCGAGGTATGAAATTAAGATCCTATTTCGACAGTTTTTATTGCTATCTCAAATTATACATTATTCGAGCTAGGCTCTTCCCATAAAATGCTACTTCATTGTTTATGAAACTATTTCCTTTTGCTGAGCATGCCTGTGTATCCTTGTTGCGGCGCGGGAACTGCGGCCAGGCAGTTTTTAGCCCAGTTCCCTGACATCGAAGATAGTTCTGTCACTTTAATTAATCCTGAAGTGAGTGATAGCAATAATGATTCGAATGTTGACTTCTTGCCGTGGGTGGGTCTACATCGATGTTAGTCACAAATATATCAGATCTGCAAAAGGCCAAGTCCCTTCCCATGCGGCACAGATTGAGACATTGCCAAGAAGCAAACGGCTGTAAAAGATTTCTCCTACCCTGCCTATTGCCAAGAAGCAAACGGCTGTAAGATTTCTCCTACCCTGCCTATTGTGTGGAAGGCACCCGTTAAATGATTGATTCACTGGTGCCATTTTGATACGACATCGGAAGGGGAGGAGGGGGTCGCCAGATCCAATGGCTGGCTGCAGTTAAATCAAGTCGACAACGAGCATGTATAACCCCTTTTCCATTCACACAACCTTCCGTCCAAAGGCAATGCGATGTTCCGACGGAAAGTCCCATGAATTCGCTGGCGTGTTGCACAAAACACATTGGAAGGCAAGTGCTATTTGGAATGTGAAAAGACGGGGGTTGGAGTGATAGGTTCTGGCGAAAATGTCTTCAGCGGCGTAGACACACGTAGAAGCTGCCTGGCGTCGTTACATCGTGCCTCTGTTGAACAAACATTCTGCGGACGGGAAGTTTTCCTTGACGAAAAAGTCAATCAACTTCATCAAATTCAAACCAAATCTACTTAAAGGTACGCTTGTTCCACCGTTAAATACTTCTGGTTACGTGTTACTGCTATTCCTTTCAATCTTCCCGGCCGTATCTCTAAGATCTACCTCCGAATTCCTTTCACCGTTTTTTTTACAGCTTCTGGTTAGTCCATCAGTTACCCTTAGCGCGAACACTGGATCAAGCGTCAGTTCTGAGGCTAAACCTTCATCACGTTGGTAGACCATGAATGCTGACAAAACAACGAATAGATCAACTGCAAAGACGCTTCCTGAAGCGACAAGCATACTCTACACTATCATGCATAGTATTGAGTCACTTTCCACCAAAATTGGAGGGACGGATGTTGATACTGCCCCCGCAATCAGCCTCACCGACACTCCTGAGGCTATCATCAAACTCATCGACTTGCTGGCTCGTAGTGATATCCCTACTGTCCCGCCCTCTGTCTACATTGATCTGGAGGGTATTAAAATTGGCCGCAATGGTTCGATATCGATCCTTCAAGTCTATTTCCTCCCAACCAAGGAGTCATTTCTCGTGGATGTTCACACTCTTCGTGAGCGAACATTTTCCACCCCAAACAAATCTGGCGTCACCTTAAAGTCTATCTTGGAATCCCAGCTCATCCCCAAGGTTATCTTCGATGTCCGTAATGACTCTGATGCCTTGTACAGCCACTTTGGCATCAAGCTTGGAGGCGTTATCGACCTTCAACTCATGGAGCTCGCCACTCGTTTTTATAGCCGAGATTTTCTCTGCGGGCTTGGAAAATGCATGGAAAATGATCTCGTGCAAACTCCGGAAGAACTCAAAGTTCGAGGCGCCATAAAACAACGTGGAATAGAAATCTTCGCACCGGAAAAGGGGGGTAGTTACGAGGTCTTTAATGATAGGCCCCTTGACCCAGCTATCGTGGATTATTGTATTCAAGATGTTCAGCTTTTGCCCGAGCTCTGGGAAGTTTATAATGCAAAACTCAGTAAGCTGCACAAAAGATGGGCTGCCAAAATTGAGCAAGAAACAAAGGCTAGAATTTTGTCGTCTCAGAGTGCAGACTACATTGGGGAAGGTCGGCATAAGGCAAGAGCGCCACGCTCGTGGTAGAGCATTTTTGATATTCTGATAAACGCCTTGTGTGCATGCCACATCTTCATACTCGTTGGATAACTTCTGTCTACTCTTTTCTCCTCAACATTGACACTGTGGTTTGTTTTCATGGCCAAGACCAATCTAAGTGTCATGTGGATTTACTGTCACTTGTTTCATCTTTTGAATTCTCACACAACACGAGTGAGTTCATTTGATGAATTTGTGGTTAAATTTCCATAGAGTTATCATGTGGAAATGACTAAAATTTGAATCTATTGGATGTTCGTTATCACTCAAGTTTTGTGACTGTCCCACGCTTCTATATTACACTTACTGAGTGCCAAATTCTGTGATTATTGATGGGTGCGATTTGATTTCCTTCATTCTCTTCTGAAATCTTAATCGCAATCGAAGTTCCTAAAATGGAAAGAGTTTGTCTGGGCAGTCGCGTTTTCCATTTCGTCCCTTCCTCGTTCTACTATCTCAAATAATAAGAATATGTTAAGTAGTAGTGAACCAAATTCCACATCTTCTCTCGTAACTCATTTCAGCAACAGCAGAAGAAAGTACACTTTCTGGATTACCACTAAATTTTGGGTTCATCAAATTAGTTTTCATCCCATCTCGCCCACGCGGCCTGGGTGAAGATGGGTTCCTCTACTTGCTGCACAAGTCGTCAACCACCTTCCCCCGATGCAGTATCACCTCGTCCTATTCGATCACCATCAATTACGCCAGCAAATACTCTGAGGAAGTCTCCACGTAAGACATCAAATCTGAGGATCGCGGACGCACAAACACAAGTCCCTACATGGAGCTCGGCTACAAAAACAGAAGATGAACCGGAAATAAGGGCTATTTTTGAAGGACAGTGTTTTCCTGAAAAGGATAGAGAGGAAGAAATAAGGGCGGTTGGCGAAGGAGATAGCGATGAAGATGACGAAGACGAGAAGCAGCAGGGGGTTAAGCCAATGCTTAGTTCAAACACACTCAAATCCGTCAAGAGTCGCCTGAAGAAGACATTTTCCCGCGAATCTGGAATTACAAAGAATGATAAAAGAAGAAGTATAGGGACAAGTGAGGAAGAGGTGGAAAGAAGAAAAGAACTAAGAAGATTAAGACAGAAGAGGATTGAGGAGGAATTAAGTTATGAAGATGGATATGATGAAGACGCTCAATCTATGAGTACAGTTGATTGTCATACAAATCGGGCCGTGGATAAGGGCAAGAAGAGACAGTCTATTTTGCCAGAGGATAGTGGGAACTTTCCGGTTTTCAGGAAGTAAGTACCGTCTCTTTAGACTTGTCAAAGATATATTATTCTAATTGACTATTATAGACAGAGTTCTTCCTTCGGGTCGGAAGGAATTGGCAATGGTAGCAAGATCTCTCTATCTACGGGTAATGTTGACAACGCGAGTAACGTGTCACTATCAGTTTCCAAGCTTGACAATACCAGCAAGCTATCGCTTTTAACTCCGGCCGATCGTGGAAAATCTCGGACTCATGTAGGTACTGCTGAGTCAAATATTAATCTACTCAAACCGAGCACTACTCCACCACGAAGATACAGCTCACCTGGTCCTTGTCCTACACCTAGTGAAATCGATTTTCTTCAGCCTGGAAAATATCGGCCTAGAAAAACAGACAGCGAAGTTTGTCCTATACCTTCGGCGCCAGTATCAGATGCTCAGAGGTTGCCCGGTTTTGGTATACCTGATACAAATCTGGCTTCGAACTGGCGTTTATCATATACTTCCCATAAAAGCAACCGCGGAGCACATCTTCGGAGGCTTAGTCAACAGTTTGAGGCTCCAATTCAATCGGCAGCAGATGTTGCTAATGTTGGAACTCAAACATTGCCACGTTGGCTCAAAACTCATAGGCTGCAATCATCTTCTCAAGCTGTTACAATGTCAGAAGGTAGTACTGTTCATCAAGAGCCCTCATTTATGCGGCCTCCGCGCTCAGATACTGGATTTGGAGGCGTTGACGGTAGTGGTAGTTTTACGAATATTCATCTGCAAGATATGGATATCTCTAAACGTCTTCTGCAAAGCTCCTGCTCATCTCCACAGCTTGTAAGCTGGGAGAAACATCACCGTGAAACTTCAGGCATTAGCACCGCTACACAAAGCCGTGCTAGATATATGCGGAATCCATCGGAGACAATATCCATGCCTTCCTGTCCATCATTTGCTTTGAGTGAGCTGGCCCCTCCCAACTGGGGAAAAATACCAAATGATGGGACATCTTCATTCTATCCTTCCGTGGCAAATAGCATTCAACCTTCACCAGAATGTTCGCGATTCGAATTATCTCCTTTGATATCGGCGAATAGAAGTATTGTTGCAATAGTAGAGCCCCAAGGTATGGAATGCGCATCATTTCTCTATAAGAAATCTCACTAACATTTGCAGTAATTGATGAGGTCATCACACCTCTTCGTTCGCCAATAACGCCAGCAGGAATGGGCGCCGATACGCCAACCACAATCAATGTGTCCCTTACTAGTCTTCATGCCCCTTTGACCAGATACTCCGCACGACAAATTGATGAAAGCTCACTTTTTGCTTCCGAAACTACAAGTTTCCGAGAACGAGAACTAGAATTGAGCCATATTCAAGCACGCTTTGCTTCATCAGACTTACGTCGACCTCCAAGTACTCCAATATCAAGCAAGTTCCGTGAAGAATTCGATATCTCCCTTACTCCTCAACCTAAATCTCCTTTTCAGAAGCTTGTTAGGGCTTGCTCATTAAAAAAGAGTCGTGATGATTTGGAAGATGGTCTACTACTAGCTCCTCCACCACATAGATTAGGATTTGGGTATCGATTTTCCTCAACTCCTACAACTCCAGCGAGAAAGAGCTCTACACGCGCCTCTATTTCCACGAAGGACGTAACAGAGATACGGCAAACTCCTGCCATTGATGATTCCATTGATACTCCTGTAAAAGGCAGATTTGCCGCATTTCGCAGGATCAAGCGTCTTGCGAGTATTGGTGGATATGATGGTCCGGAGGATGATCGTCGAAGAAGTAGAGCTGATTCTAGAGCTGATTCTAGCAGTCGAAAACCATCAGCTTTAGATGCTAGGTTAGGTCTGGGTTCTGATATGACCGCCATTGAGGCACAGCGGAAAATCTCTATACCTGCCATGCCACACATTTCATTGCCGATCCCCGAGTCACCTAGTATCAACAAATCGAATGCTCGCACCCCTGGGCCTCTGGCTCGCATGGTCACATCTATGCATGTTGATTCCCCAGAAATTCATTTACCGGGACCTATGGCTCGCATTGCCACTTCAATGCATGTGAATCCCCCAGAAATTCATTTACCGGGACCTATGGCTCGCATTGCCACTTCAATGCATGTGAATCCCCCAGAAATTCATTTACCGGGACCTATGGCTCGCATTGCTACTTCGATGCATGTTGACTTACCTACGCCTCATATGCCCGATGTTGCCGCATCACTTCTTCATACTCCTCATATTGATCTACCGACCCCTCATATGCCCCATATTCCCCATATCAATGTGGGTCATCATGATCAAGATTCTGACCCAAAAGAGAAGAAAGGTCCCAAAGCAGCACCTGCAATTGCTGCGCCAAAGCCAAAGGGTCAAAAGCCTGGCGATAATCCTCAAGGAGGTGCACCACAATGGAGAGGCCCTCGAGCTAGAAATCGATCCCCAAGTAGAGAGGATAACAGGAGGAGAATGGATACTAGTCAAGATGATTCCGCTGCTGTCTGGATGAAAGCAGTCAAAGGTGCTGTAAACGATAGATCGAAAGCGCGTAAAGACAATCAAGATGGAGATGACATATTTGGGGACTGGGAGGCAGAATTGGCTGGAGTAGCATCAAAATCTAAATATGAAAGCCGAAAGTTTGGCTCTAGGGGTAAACCAAAGATCCATCAAATTGAACAATTTCCAAAAGCTTGGTGTAGATTCCCGAGCCATGAGAGGAATGCTAGGGGTCATGAAAGTGCGGGCGTGGAGGCACTAGTTGAAGCGAAGGACTTCGCTGCACCGAAAATAGGAAAGGAGGTTGCGGGAACAAAAGAATATTCTTATGCTACAAGGAGGAGAAGAAGGCCAGGTATGATTACTAGCAATAGCAGTGACCCCAGTTCTGCTCACGCCTTATCCGATGAGGAATTGGATGCAATTGAAGCTGCACAGCCATGGATCAAGCGATTGAGTCAGAAGATCAAAATTGCTTGGATGGATTTTATGATTGCAGAGGAACAAAAGAAACATGCGTTTCACACTGGAAGTTTGGGGAGAAGAGGTTCAATGACTATGGATGGAAAATTACCATTTCCAGAATTGGAATTGTTACCGATGAGAGCACCACCTCCACCAAGTGAAGTGGTAGACGATGAAGCGGATGATTTGGAGGAAGAGAAAAAAAGAGTTGAGGCCATCAAGAAGGCGCAGATTAAACCGCATTATGAGGCGGCAGATTTGACGCAGAGTAAAGCGGGTGTAAGTGATTTGTTGGATATTTTTAGTACGGGGCCTGAGGAACCGGCTGAACCGAAGATGCCGGTTAAGAAAAAGGGTCCAAAGGCAAAGAAGGTTAAGGACCCTTATGCTTTGGATGAAGATGAGGATTTGGGTGGTGGCGGTGGTGATGCTGGGGGTAAAGGTGATGAAGGTGAGGATGGAATGCCTAAGAAGAAAGAGAAGAAGATTAAAGATCCATATGCGCTCGATGATGATGATGACGAGGATTTACCACCTGTACCCAAGAAAAAGGGAAAAGCGAAGGATCCTTATGCTATTGACGATGATATGGACGGCTCATCTGATTTTGGTTCTGGGGATGAGCTAGGCAGGATTGATCAAATTGTCATGAAAGAGGTTCTAAGTGACGACGATACGATTGATCATACGCGATTTGAGGACTCGATGGTTAGTTTTCGTGATCCAGAGTTCTATCAGGATTGTTTGGTGATGCCAAAAGAACCAAGTCCCGTACATGTTAAAGAATGTTCTGTACTGTCCAGCCATGGAATCATTGAAGAAGAAGAAAGTCCATCAGGTAATGGTGCGGGTATTAGAGTACAAGTTCAGGAAATTGGCGAGGGGGTTATTAAACAGATTGAGAGATTTAGAACGTGGAATGGTAAAGATTGGGAAAGGGAAATGGGGGGTTTCCTTATGAGAAGGGATACGAGTGTCGGTAGAGATAGTATGAGGAGTGCAAAGTCTGGTTGGAGTATGGGAAGTCAGGGGTCGAGAAACACGGTTAAGAGTGTGGGGGTAGAGGTTAAGAGGTTGGAGGATTTGGAGAGGGAGAGGGAGGCTTTGAGGAGGAGGGGAGGTCATTTGACGGGAGGTGTGCCGAGGAGGGTTAGAGGGGATAGGGGAAGAGAGAGGAAGAGTGGACATGCGAGGAGTGTTAGTTTGGGAGATGGACTTGATATTTTTGAGGGATTGAGTGGTGGAGGTGAGGTGAGAGGAAGAAGATTGACGTTTGGTAGTGGGAGGTAGATGACATTTCGGTGGGTATGGAGAAGCGAAGTGAGTGCAAAAGAAGTCTAAGATGGACTTAAGTTTTGCAAATTCGGTGAGAGGGAGGTTTTGGTTGATATAGCCCTGAAAACCGAAACCGACCATAATTTTAGGAAGTGGTTTTAGTAAAGAATTCCGGTATGCCCTAACGTACGATGGAGGTTGTATTGATGTATCCATTTTTCAACTGGTTTTATACATATAACAGGGAGTATTAGGCCTAAAGTGGACGAATTAGAATTGGTATAGCTAGCTTTTAGGTACAAATTTGGGCAAGTTTGCTCACACTTTTGGAAGATATAGGGTTGCTATTATTTGTACTTCGTTATGAGTACAGTTAGTCATGAGATATGATTACCATCCATGGAAGGCTAGATAGAGATACGTACATGAATGATATTTTATGTTATATTTATGTTGTATGCTGAAATTGATGAGCTTCAAAAGTGTATATAAAATGGTGGCTGAGAGAGTAGACGGTTAATTACTTTTATATATCTGTTTGCGTGCTGAGTGCATCAGTAGAAAGATAACATTGCCGCTTTTACTCTGTAAGCGAATCTAAAAAGCGGCGAAGACCTTTCGCTCTCAATTGATGTAAGATTATGCTGGAGTCTATTCCTTATTAAGAAGGTGTCAGCCTAGCCTTCTTGTTTTGGGCGAATTTCATAGTCATTGGCTATGATAGCTATGCCCGATTCTGGTGTAGCTGAACTGTAGCTGAAAAGGTCGACTTACTAGAGCCTGATCATATCCTCGCACCAGAGCTGAAATCTCTCCACCTTGTTATGTGGGAACGACACCAGAACCATCCACCGTAACAATTCATGACATGCAAGTTCAATTTCTCTGTGTATGAGCTTCCTACGCCATGTCCCAGTCTCTCTATTCATCGCTTTTGCTGGGGCCTAACAGCACTCGTTTGCTTCGACTGATGCCACATGATGATGAGAACGCGGAGATCACGTGTAGGCTCTTTGTGTATCCTCTAGATGATTAACTTAGAGGTGGCACTCATATGTATGAGGCGTTGTCCTATGTCTGGGGGTGCACAGATAATCCTCGTTCCATTTCCGTAAACGGACAGAACTTGATTGTCAGGGAAAATCTTCACGCCACGCTATCACGCCTTCGGGATCCTGTTTTAGAACGCATCATATGAATAGATGCTATTAGTATCAATCAAGAAGACCCGGAAGAGCGAGGTCATCAGGTTCAGCTTATGGCGGAAATTTACAGCAAAGCATGTCGTGTAGTTACCTGGCTTGGAGAGGCGGCGGACGATAGTGATCAAGCTCTTGAAGAAATTGCCATTTCTGCACGGCAATCTAATATTACAAGTTTCTCAGACGAGCAATCTACACATTCTCCTCATTCACGGTTTCCTATCGCATTGTTTCGGTCTCCTATCCCATTGTATGCAACCACAGTCGAGATTGAACATACTCCAAACAACAGAATGAACCCGACGGCGATTTTTGCACTACTTCGACGTCCATGGTTTCAGCGCATTTGGGTGAGGAAATATCGCTCGATAATGCACAAGAATGTCACTAAAAGTTGATCCAGGTACTACAAGAAGCTGCCGCAGCTCGAAATATCTTAATAAAGTGTGGTACCATGGAAATGAGCGGACATGCGTTCTGCTTAGGTTTAGCATCATGGAAGATCTTTCCCCAAGCTAACTCAGATTTACAGAACCTGGTCCGTTCTGTGACTGACCTCATGAGGGAATCGATCTTCCGACCTAAATTTGCAACGAGTAGCTCAAATTATTACTCCCTCAACATCCGCCCGCTAGTTGAACTGATAGAAACTTACTATGCCCATCAAGCGTCTGATGATCGCGACAGAGTGTATGCCTTACTCGCCATGAGCTCTGATAATCCTGTATCAAGAGGTTTATTGCCTGACTACACAATTTCATGGGCACAGCTATTTGTGCAGCTTGTCAAGTTCCTTCTCTGCGAACAAACATCCGTGGATATTTGCCAGACTAGGAGGATGGTAGTGATCAAAAGCAAAGGCCGTGTTCTTGGCACGGTTCGCTCGGCGAGGCGTACTTCCTGGAATCACACGCAAATTTTGGAGGTCGATTCCTTACCTTTCGTCATTCACCCTGAGAAGTATGATATTAAGGAGTGGGAACTCCCAGCGGCACGGAAGAACATACAAGCTGGCGACATAATTGTTTTCTAGAAGGTATCTCAAGGCCAATGATAATCAGACCATGTAATGATCATTTTGATGTCATTATGATTACAGTGAATCTGAAAGTGAATAGGGGAATGAGGGGCTATTCTATATCTTCGTAGGTAAGAAATGTGTCCCCGAGAGTTTTCGTACTCCTCCCGATAGACTTTTTACTTGTTTGGGTATTTGGGAGGATCCTCAGGATAAGGATCGGATACTCAGTACCAGAAAATCATCTAGCAGTTTTACCCTCGAACGGGCAACTAACTGTTTCAAACTGCAGAACTCGGCGTGTATACAGACACAAAGGAACACTTAGAATTGGGTAAGTATTCGGAGGTGAAAAAGGACTACGAGATGGAGGAGGATTACGAGGTGGAGAAGGATCCAGAGATAATGGGATATTCAGAAATGATGACTGGAAAATTGAGTGAAGTAATCAGATTGCAGAACGTAGCTCAGATATTACAGCACTCGAGATTGTATGAAAACGCAGAAAAATGGTTTTTGCGAGTGATACGGGCAAGAAAACACCTATAAGGAAGAGAGCATCCACAAACACTAAGCAGTATAGCTGAGCTACAGTCAGTGTATGAAAATCAAAGAGCTTTTCAAGAGTCGGCGAGGCAGAGGCTAGAAAGGAGACGAATACTTGATCAGGAGGATAAAGACCTTCGGGATTTCCTAGAGGGAGCCTAAATAGCATCAGATTGAATGATTATCTAATTCAGGAACTGTGTTTTTACCCTAAGAAAGCAAAAAGTACTTCCTCCAAGGATATATAAGCACTTTCTGAGAGGCCTCAAATATTTATGTGTGAAGTAGATCATGTACACAGATTTATATGGGCAAACGTCCAAATATGACTCTCAAATATTGAAGTAACAGTATATATAGGAAGTACATATGATCAATCTTATTTTCATCCTGATTCGGACAAAACGAGGCCATCCACATCGATTTTCATTCGTCTCTAATCACTGATCATGTTCGATTATTATTTATCTTCGATCACTAATTCAATGTTAGATATTTAATAATTTTTTCTTCAATTTATTGATTCACTTTACTATAGCACCAGAAGAACATTTTGATTATATGATAAACTGAATTATTTTAAATATAAATTTATTATTTAAATAATAACAAAGTGTGACGGAAAAGTCGTAAACGGAGTCAATTCAATCACTTAGAATCTAAAACTAAAGAACTAAGAAGATTCTAAGTAAGAAGGTCTTTATATACAGGGCTAGTGCACGTGAGCCACTAGTGGGATAACAACCGTCACGTAACACAAAGTCTGAAAATTTTAGATTTTTCACAATTTTATTAATCGAGAAATTGAAAGTTGAAATCACGATTTATAATTAATATGAGAATTATTTACTTTAATATAAACCAGAGTGTTTTCGAGATTTAGAACTCCTGATAATATAATTTTAAATAAAGATATTACATTTATTAATGATTTTTAATCTATCTTTTATTTTACTATTGTGTAACGATACTATACTGGAGGCAGCGGCTGCCTAAGGTTCGTCGGTTGGTAGTTATGGGTTAAGGCTTTATCACTGGTATTCACTTGAAAGTGAAGTCGTTACTAGATCAATGTTACGTCCAAAACGATTAGTATGTCACATGACCATAAAACATGTGATGGAACGGTGAGGAACGAACGTTCCTAGGAACAACCAGGAACGCTCGTTCCCAGGAACGACGATTCCTAGTTAACCATAGGCACGAAGGACTATATAATCAAGATGGATTTCCTTTGTATAGAGCTTCGTGCTCAAGATCAATCATTTAGTATACTCTACTATTAGTTACGAATTGCATATCATTATTGTCATTACTTCAAGTCCCTGCTTGACGCCTAGTTATAAACCTACTTCGAGAGCCTAGAGCACTTCCACGTGATCTAGACGGCAAACCTCGTAACAATCAAATAGAATGTAGGTAAACTAATTGATAACTAAGTTGAGCACGAAGCTCCTAAACTATGAAACTATTCTGACTATATAATGATCGATAAAGGGAGCCCCCAGGAGCTTTCTGGCTTCTCAGGGCTCCTGGAGCTCTAGGAGCTTTGAGGGCTCCTAGGGCTCCTTATTACGTGATTCCTTTTCATCCCAAGACACTAATCCTAATGGTGAATCGTGACAGAAGCAGGGGTTTCCGTCACAATAAAAATAATTTATTCTTAAATATAAAAGAATAAGATTTAGTTTTGTATTAAATATAACTTTATTATTGTTGATATTATATATCCTTTATCATGATACGAAAACCTGATACAAGCCCCCATCATCTTTAAGATTAACCCGAGTATAAACATTTTCAAAGGAAAAATCCCGAAAATATCAGGCGGGGCGGGGTATCATCGGGTCCGTGCACCCAAAGCGAGCCCCACAAAACCGGACTTCAAGGCAGGAACAATCGGTGAATCATATATGCTAAACCTCACCCTGATGATACAAAATCGGGCTTGTGGTTTAGTGGTATAATGTTCCCTTAGCATTAACTTTCCTGGGAGAGGTCCGGCGTTCGATTCGCCGCTAGTCCATATACATCTACCTATTAGATGCAAAGTTTTTGCAAAATTTTCAGAGGAATTTTATTTAAAGATTTTTTTAAAGATTTTTTTAATGGATTTTTTTGAGGGGTGAGATGATTTAGTGAGTACTAGGCGAGGTGGGGTTGATCTTTTTAAAATTTCAAAGTTTTTATTTTGAAAAGTAAATTTTTAGATTTTATATTAAATAAATTTTATGTTAAAAGGAATGACCTTATACAGGGAATTGTAACGATACTGTACTGGGGGCAGCGGCTGCCTTAGGTTCGTCGGTTGGTAGTTGTGGGTTAAGTGTTACGACGGCTATCTTCTACGCCGCGTCACATGACTAAACCAAGGTAACGTGATTAAGTCACGTTATGGACCGCTGAGGAACGCTGGTGTCACGAATCACGATTATTATAACACAATAAAAGCAAGTACAGCGGTTTGGGCCGCTGTTGCCGAGGGGGTCCTTATCGATAAGGAATCCTAGGACAAGTGTCCTAGGATAAATTGTGTCCCAGGATAATAATCATTCTAGGACAAACCATTTAGGCAACCATGATGGCTTAGGACAAGTGTCCTAGGACATCATTCGTTCTGGGATAAAACGTCCTAGGATAATATTTGTCCTAGGACAATTATCCTAGGAGTTATATTATCCCAGGAGACGAATTGTCCCAGGATTAGTGTCCTGAGGCCAATAGGAAATCACGTGATATGCTAGCTCTGCTAGCCAGCTAGCATAGCTAGCACTCAAGGAAACGACGAGTATATAGTTAGAATAGTTTCATAGTTTAAAAGCTTCGTGCTCAACTTAGTTATCAATTAGTTTACCTACATCCTACTTGATCTAATAACGACTTCACTTCCAAGTGAATACCAGTGATAAAGCCTTAACCCACAACTACCAACCAAACGAAACCTCAGGCAGCCGCTGCCTCCAGTACAGTATCGTTACAGCTGGCTGTCCAGGACCGTGCAGCGGTCCTGACTAGTTATAGGCATGAAGGTCTATATAATCAAGATGGATTTCCTTTGTATAGAGCTTCGTGCTCAAGATCAATCATTTAGTATACTCTATTATTAGTTATGAATTGCATTATTGTCGTTACTTTAAGTCCCTGCTTGACGTCTAGTTATAAACCACCTCGAGAGCCTAGAGCACTTCCATGTGATCTAGACAGCAAACCTCATAACATTAAGGCTTTATCACTGGTATTCGCTTGGAAATGAAGTTGTTATTAGATCAAGTAGAATATAGATAAACTAATTGATAACTAAGTTGAGCACAAAGCTCCTAAACTATGAAACTATTCTGACTATATAATGATCGATAAAGGGAGCCCCCAGGAGCTTTCTGGCTTCTCAGGGCTCCTGGAGCTCTAGGAGCTTTGAGGGCTCCTAGGGCTCCTTATCACGTGATTCCCTTTTATCCCAGGACACTAATCCTAATGGTGAATCGTGACAGTTCATTAGGGGAGATTGTTTCTATCACGGGTTCATAAGTAATTTCTAGTTCGGGCGTCCATACCTCATATAGTCAACGCTCTTTCCTCCTTTGTAGACTACATCTTACCTAAAGTCTATCCTCTACCCTGATAGGTCCTATATTTAGTTTTACTTCTTAAGCCGTGTAGCTTTAGATTTGTTATCATTGTTTAATGAACGTCAAACTCATACAGACGGTTACTTCGAACAATTAATCAGTGTTAAAGTTGAGATCTATATTAACTCCTTTTTATCTTCAAGTTAATCAGATAATACAAACGCCCAAAATAAAAAAGCAGGCCTATATACCGCTTGTACTCTACAAAATTATTTACAAATCATACTTCAAACCTAAACCTAATTTAATCCATTCAAAACTTCCTCATTAATACCACCAGCAACCCCCTTATCTTGTATCTCCATCTTCTCCTTTGCAGCATCACCACCAACTACTGTATACTTCGCAGGTACAATGTTCTTGAGAGGAGGTAAAAGACTTCTAGAGGTTTGACGAGCTTGTTGTGCCATTAATGCATCAATAACTGTGAGAGCTGCCATAGCTTCTACAATAGGTACTGCTCTGGGAACAACGCATGGATCATGACGACCCTTTGCTTCCAAAATACCGGCACCAGTACCGTCATAAGTAGCAGTTTCTTGGGGTTGACCAATGGTGGCAGCGGGTTTAAATGCTACACGGAAGTAAATTGGAGCACCATTCGTAATTCCTCCTTGAATACCAGCAGAGTTATTTGTCTTAGTGGTTAATCTAGGACGTGGGATTCCATTCTTTGATGCTCCGGTTTCGAGAGGTGGAACTTCAGTAGCAAGGATGAATGCGTCATTATGTTTGGATCCTGGGACTTCACAACCACCAAAACCAGATCCGATTTCGAAACCCTTAGAGGCAGGGATACTGAGCATTGCATGAGCGAGCATTGCTTCCATTTTGTCGAAACAAGGTTCGCCAAGGCCGGAAGGAACATTGCGAATCACGCAAGTAACGGTTCCTCCAATGCTATCTTGTTTATCTCTGTATTCTGCGATGACTTCGGCCATTTTCTCAGATGCTTTGATATCAGGGCAACGGACCGGAACAAATTCATCAACACGCTCTCGTGTTATGTCTTGAATGAGTGAGAGAAAAGCGGGGTTTGTGGAAGGACTTGGGTGTTCGGCGGTGGGTGGGAACATATGGGTACTGCCAACAGAAGAGACAAATGCGACAATTTCGATTCCATGGGCGAGTTTGAGATATTTTTCAGCAATTGCACTTGCTGCCACTCTACCAATTGTTTCTCTTGCGCTACTTCTTCCACCACCACTGCTTGCCTTGACACCGTACTTCTCGAGGTATGTCCAATCTGCGTGAGAAGGGCGAGGGTAGAGATCCATTGTTTTGTTTCCATAATCGTGTGGTCGCTGATCTTGGTTACGAACAATCATTCCGATTGGTGTACCAAGGGTAATTCCAAATTCTGTGCCAGATTGAATTTCGACTTTGTCTTTCTCATCCCGGGGAGTAGTAAGGGCAGATTGACCTGGACGACGACGAGTCATTTGAGGTTGAATGTCTGCTTCTGTGAGTTCCATTCCTGGTGGAACTCCATCGACTATACATCCTACAGAGCGACAATGCGACTCTCCGTACCTGTGGAGAGGAAAAGAAGTTAGTATTTTATGTTGATCTTGGGATGGAGGGGTAACTTTGTCATAGAACTTGGTAATGATGAATCAATCAACTGAATTGAATGTGTACGTACGTAGTAACTTTGAAGTATTGACCAAATGTAGACATCTTGAAGAGAAGGAGGTATTCAAAGATATGAAATATGAATATGAGTATGAGAGATTCAAAGTAAAGAAGATATCAACAGCTTTTTGCTCAGTATATGTAACTTTTTTTCAAAAAAGTCGATCTCAATGAATGACTCTTTCCGAGCTCGGACCCGATTGATTCGTCGGACGATGTGGGATGATTACGTGAGATTGAAATTCCCCTGCAGTTGTCCGGAGAGAACCCTGTAAAGACTAAGAAATATAGAATTATTTTAGGTATCTCCGAATCTTGTGTGAGAGAAACGATCAACTCAACATCCGGAGTATCTTTTGATGCGTATATGAGGATATTTCAAATGTATCAGAAAACAATGGCACCTTCAAGGGGCTTAAGGTTAATACGCCAAGTTATAAAACACAATACCACATCACTAGGCTTCTTTGTTCGAAGAAAGGTTTCCACTTCCAGCAGTGTCTCCATATCGAAATTCGTCCAAGAGGCTACCAATCCAATCAACAAATCTCAAATATACATATCACGAACGAATGACCCATTTATCAACTTATCCATTGAACATTACCTTCTGCAGAATACTCCCGCAGATTCTACTGTCTTATTTCTCTATACCAACGAACGCTGCATAGTGATTGGAAGAAATCAAAACCCTTGGAAGGAAGTAAATCTCAACCTACTCAACAAGTCAACAATTGGAGATATATCATTGGTTCGACGACGTTCAGGTGGAGGAGCCGTCTTTCACGACACAGGAAATGTCAATTACTGTGTCATATGTCCTACTTCGCAGTTCCATCGCGATAAGCATGCCGAAATGGTAGTGAGAGCGCTACATACACTTGGTGTTGATCGCGCTATGGTTAATGCTCGACATGACATAGTATTGAGGCCACGCGGGTCGGGTGACGGAGGATTCAGATCATTCAAAGTATCGGGTTCAGCATACAAGTTGACCAAAGAGAGAGCTCTTCACCATGGAACTTGTTTATTATCATCCCCGAATATTGCAAAAATTTTCAAATATCTGAGGTCTCCTGCGTTGAGATTCATCACCGCTCGTGGTGTTGAAAGTGTGAGCTCTTCGGTGTCAAATACTAATGTCAAAAATAAGGCATTTGAGGATGCAGTGGTCGAGGAGTTTGGCAAGATGTATAGTCTTCATGAACCCATTATTTTGGGCGAGGATGTCAAAGTAGTCCCTGAGATTGCCAAGGGTATTGAAGAGCTTACTGTGAGCAATTGTTGATTCTTTTGAAGACTGATGCTAACCGTTTGAAAAATAGTCCTTAGATTGGATATTCTCACAAACTCCTCAATTCATATTCTCATCAGATCAATCCACTAAAGACACAGATAAGAAACATCCTGTACATCCTCTTCCGAAGGACTTGCCGCCGAATGTGAGTTAACCACGGGAAGCTGAAACATGGTCAACGTTACTGATGTGGAGATACAGTTCAAAGCAGACTTTACGGCACGAGATGGAGCTATCATCGAAGCAGATGTCCAATATAAGGACAAGGGCGAAATGGTCCAAATCGGAGATAAACTGGTGAACAGAAAGATACATGAAATCGAGTGGAATCAGTTCCCTCAAGCTATTGCTGACGAACCCCTAAAGTGGTTCAGTAAATTATTCTCTCACAAGGTCGAGGATTGGAGAAAGGAACGGATAAGGAAAATTTGACGTTTCCCAGTACAATGCTGATTATCTATTGATTTTCCACTTGATTTTTCCACGCTTTTGCATTGGACAATTAATCCATGGACAACGTTTCTTTTGCATGTTCATATACTAGATACCCAATGACAAGTGTCTCTTTCATCATTATCCGCATTGATACTCCAATGACGATTTGAAACAACAAATAGCTCGCAACTTGAGGTATATCAAAGCGCGAGCTAATTGATTCGCGTAATTTCATCGACGTTTCTTATATCGAAAAATCCCCATAATACTGCAAGGTATACTGGAAGGGGATTAATGGCCAGTTACATTATAAATTTCGCAAACAAACTATCGGAAAAACTTTCTAGTAGATACAGGCCTACAATATGGTCCGAAAGTTTAAAAAGCTCAATATCCTGCTGTTTTCATCCCAGTTACAAGATCGAAGTTTCGTCAACGAAACAGAATGATTCTTCCATTCCCAAGCATGAATTGTTACAATCAATGGGCTCGAGGACTTATAAATAATCACAGCCAATCGAATTCTTCATCTGATCTCAAAACAAGTCGTTTATTAATGGTTGCTTGGCATCCGAAACGTCAATTAGATTCACATATATAGATTAATTGATTTCATACGATGTACTAAGTACCATAAGTATCAGACCTTCTTATAAGTATCGAACGCCTCTCATGAACATTTTCGCTTACTCTACCATTCATAATATCTTCTTTACTCCCTTCATACTCTTTGAACTTCCCGGCAGGTCCGCTCAATATTACATTGTATTTCATTTTAGACAGGTTCTATTTTTCTTTTAGCAATCATGCAATATTCAACCTTTTTCATCACCCTACTTCTATCTACTGCCGTAGCAGCTAAAAGTAAAAATGGTACTCTGACTGAGGAACAAACCTGCAAAGAAATGCTTGGTTTGAACTCATTTGTTCAATTCGCCAACAACCCAGCTAAAGTTGCAGCCATTACCGGAAGTATGTCATCTTTCTCTATTCTGATTCAACGCGTCTTTAAGCCCTTACTTCCCCGAAATACTAACTAACCATCTGGAAGATGACACAACCAAGGTTGCCGCCCTCCAAGCTAAAGCTTCTGCTGCCTCCGTCAAACTCACAGAGCTTCAATCCAACACCACCCTCATGACCAACTGTGCCGTCATCGACGCAGCAATCATGACCAATTCCTCCTGCACCCAACAATTCATTCTCCAAAAATTCGTCGATTTCGCCGCCAACGAAACACTAGTCACAGCCACCGTCAACAACGACATGACCAAAGTAGCAAAAATTGAACTCCAAGCTTCAGACGCAGCAGCCAAACTTCAAACGCTAAAATCGAATGCTACGTTGCAGGCAGCTTGTCCTGCGGTCTTCATGGCTGATGAATGTAAAATGATGGTTGCGCTTCAGAAATTCGCCGATTTGGGTATGGATGATAAGAAGTTGAGTAAGATTGCTATGGGGAATGCGACGAAGGAGGCGGATATTAAGGCTGCGGCTGGGACGGCTGAAGTGCAAGTTATGATGATGAAGGCGAATTCGACATTGATGGCTGAGTGTATGAGTATGGGAATTAAGATTTCTGGTGGTGAGTTTTTCTTTCTTTTATTTCTTCGGTGCGGTGCGAGAGAGAATAGTGGGAAGTTACGGGTTGAATGAGATGAGGTTGGATAAGACGAGAGTAAAGACTAATCAAGCAAAATAAATAGATGCAACAGCAAAATCAACTACATCTTCCGACGAGACTGCAAATTCTAAGTCGGCGGCTAGTATTAATGGTATGAGTATTAGCGCACTCTTTATGGGTGTTTTGGCTTTGGGTATGGCTATGTTGTAGGCTTATGGTGTATGTTATGAAAGACTTGCTTGAGATGGAGATAGGAACTACGATTGGGTTCTGTATGTTTATATGGGTATATATGATAAGGGTTGGAGAATAGTATGGTGGATATTATGTTTGAGATGATGGGATGGGATGGGTTTACGTTCGTTTTATACCGTTTACATCGATTTTCATGAGAATTATAAAATTTTATATATTTCATTATATGGATTTATGGGGATGAATGTCGTGCTGGTAGTTTTTTGAATTCTTTGAATATTTTTTATTATTTTGATTTGTTTTTTATTTTATTAATAGATATAAAAAAATTATAAAAGATTTAAAATAATATATATATATATATTTAAAAATTAAATAAAGTTGATTTTGAATTCCCTATATTGAATAATATTCTATAATAGATATAAAAAAATAATTGAAAAGAGGGATGATCCATAAGTGAAGAATTAAACTTAATTCGGACCCCGATTATTAGCACTTTAATCACAATATAAACAAGTACGTTTCACTCATACTATGTGAAATCTTATACATATGAACTTTAATAAATGTAGCAATCAATTATTTATTGCTTTCTTTGCCTGTAAGATATCATCTCTGATGAATACCGATCCCATTGCCCCTATGCAAAACCTGCCATGCATAAATAAAACCCCCGCCGATATCAATCTACCTAGATATCAACATCCACACTACCACTAAACCATTTCTGACTCAACGCTCAAAGCTACCCTTTCCGTCAACAAAGTATATGTAATTATAGGCCAGCCCAATAAATCCATCATACAATCTCACCCTACCTCTCTAATTTTCAGTATATTTAGCAATCAAAGCGCACACGCTCAAATACTCCTGCATCTCCTTCCTAAGCACCTCATCACTATTACCCAGCTCGATAACGAAACCTCGAAGTTCATCCATAGAAGCTTTTTTATGAACATATTCATTAAAAGCCATCCACTTCAAACTATGATCGATTTTGTTAAAGCCAACTGCTTGTAATGTGCTTACTTTGCCACTACGCATAAGCGGATATAAGAATTCCTTTTCGACGATCTCTCTGAGTTGCACGGCTTTGGATTCGGAGAATTTGTCAAGTGTGCATTTGAGGGTGTTTTCGGTGGCTTCCATTACTCGGTCGGTAAATTTGGTGGATTTGGGGATGGGAGGGGTGGATGGGAGAGGGGTTTGAATGGTTTGTTTGTGGTTATTGGGTACTGTGATAGTTATCAGCTGGGTATTTATGATTTGTATTTATGTGTGTCAATGTCGGGAAATAGTTGAGGAAGATTTCATACCGGTAGAAGGTTGCGGTGTCTCCGGAAGTGGAACTCTAGACGCATCTTCGAGTTTGAGTGGAGATATCTCTGGAAGAGGAACATCAGCTGCATTTAATACGAGATGCTTGACAACTAACTTCGTATTAGCATCTTGTATAGATAGTTTTCTGTTATAGATGGGAAGAATGAGGAATGGAAACCTCATACCTGATGAGCCTAGAGGTGTCTCGGGAAGAGAAGCGTGATGTGCGATCTGGAGCTTATTCATAGAGGCTACTGGAATAGGTGATTCGGGAAGAGGAACCTGAGCTGCTTCCTTGAGTTTTAGGGTGGAGATTGGTATTACGGGAAAGGGTATTTGGGAGGGTGTGTTGAGTTTGACTTTTTCTGCTGCTTCAATGTTGGTCAGAATCTAGTGTATGTGGATATAGATATTTGCAAGAGGAATTTGAGAGAATCTACATACCAGAGCGCAGCTGCGGTGGGTTGGAAGGATCCATGGCTATGACTTTACACAGTGCTGTTGGTTGAATTGATGTGGGTTATGTTGAGTCTAGAAATTTGTATTAATACTCTAAAGATTTGTGTATTAGGAATCTCTCTGAAGCTGCTGGAGATCTTATATTCAAGATGTCAAGTAAGCTCGCTTCAGAGTTCATAATAACAATCTTAGAATCTAGAAACTAATAGACTAAGCGGGCCAAACAGGTGCTAGTGTCGTAACCTGGGACTACCATATGCTATTCACTTCTATCTTTGAATTTTACTCGTTTCATGTGATGAAAGAAAGAAAGATATTTGCATAAATGATGCCAATGGCAATTTGTTAGTAGTTGAAATGAGCCTGGAGACAGATAGATTTGGAGGTGTGGCTGGTAGCTTCGAGTATAGATGAATGGGAAACATTTACTTCTGTAGATAATTATGCAACAAAAGGGAACTTGGTTATCCATTTGTGAGTTAACTTACAATGATTGTACTTTACTATAATTAGATGAAATTGACCAATACATGAAATCAATAAGTGAATACCATCCTTATAGAAAAACTAAGGTGCATTGTTCTACGCTCAACTAAGAGATTTGTGAAATCTTCATGAGACCAGGTGATGGTCTAATCAGTCACCTTTCATCCAGCTGCTAGGGTGTACTTTATAATTCAGTTCTCTTCATTCAATCTTTCATCCTTGTTTAAACAGTTTATGACGGAGCTTAAAGCCTCAAAGCCAGATATTTCGGCTTCTTTCTTTCACAGGACGAGCACGTTGACCACTTCATCATTGCAATGTTGAGAAGATTGTAATCGACTTAGCTTTTCATCAAGCTAATCAAAAATGATATAACCATATAAACGCAACTCACTTCTCCTTTCCCACTGCTACTGCGGCTGTCCCCATTCACACCCATATCCGCAACCTTCGCGCTTCCTCTTAAGATTTTACCACAATTTACCACATCCTCCCAAGATCTCTTCTTTAATGTCATCATTCACATCCGACCATACAAATTACATGATTCATTTACTCTCCATATGATAAAAACACTACTTATTTGATGCAAAGCGACTGGATTAGCTTTCTAGGTCTCGTATCCTACAACCTATCTTCCACTCATGTCTGTTAAGTATAAACTACAACTAATGGGGATAATAACATAGCCTAATAAATAGGCTAAAGGCCATTGACATTTCAAACCACCTGACGTCGAGAAAAAGTATAAACACTTCAACTTCAATACATTACATCCCAAATAATCAGGTAACTTATCACGTATGCAACTAAGCAAACCCTCAAATCTACAATATGACTACTACTATGTCCCGTCAGGACCATCTCTTCCTATCCATTGCATTAATAATCATGTATAAAAGATATAATATCCAATAAGCAAAATAATAACTCATACAAAGCTCCAGCACATGTACAAATGATAGCCCCAATATCTCTCACCAAACATCACAACTCCCACTTCCAAATCCTTAGCTCCCACAACAACCAATATAGCAGCAATGGGTAAGCAGCTAATAATACAATCCATCATCAATTTAAACCTAGCCTCACATTTCCAAAGTGCCTACAATATATACCTATATAATACCAGTCTTCAAATGACAATCTATACTTTATACTTATAAATATATAAGAATCTTTATTAGAATCTTTATTTGAATCTATTCCATCAGCAATAACAAAGATGGCATTCATCATTGAGCTCCGAATGGTAGGTGGAAGAAATAATGATAGAAACTTTATAATGTACAGTTTATTACTTTTGTCCTCACCTTCCCATTCTACAATCACTCCAAGTAAGGTTCACCACTTCACCACTTCACCACTTCACCACTTCACCTTGACCTAACACCCCTAGAGCCTTTTCCCACGCACAACAACATCAAAATCGAAGCAGTAAATAATGACAAGTACCTAGGTATTCTACAACTGAACATCCCGAATTCGAATCAACCTTCACTTCCTCCACGCATATATATCCAGTTACCCCAAATGCAGAAAATTACAAGTCAATCAATTTATGACGAACTATCGCCATAATTAACAGTTGTTATTAAACTTTATACGAATAATAACTTTATATGAATAATAACTATATATATATATATATATCACCAACCGATCCCGAGTTTCTCTTCCTCATATCACTGATAGACAATCTCTTTAAACTACTAGATAGTTTTGGTTCTGGGTAAACTATCACCACTGTGATTCTGAATCTACCTCTTTTACTTATACGTATAGAATAAACATATGTAAAGTATATAGGTATCCAGGTACCTAGACATTCTATCCACATCTCCAAAAAAAGACATAAACATCTGCTCTACCTATTACCTACCAGCGCTATGGTTGGTATATACATAACTAGATAAACCAAATATAAGAAAATCTCGCCACCACAACTAGAATACGTATCACAAAAATATCACAGAACACCCGAACTAAAAAGTGCATTACCAAATTCCCAATTAAACAAACGAAAAGAATTCCTTCCGATCCACATCATCCATCCATCACATCGAACGATTCAATAGCATAGCTTTCCCCGAAAGAAAACCAAAATACCATTACAATTACAATTACAAATACGTAATAACATAGCCCTCACAGAAACAAAAACAAAACATGAATACCAAAAATCAAGGAAAGAAAAGAAAAACAAGCCATCTCAAAAGATTTTCTAGAAGGAAGTCTTAACAAGGTTACTTACTTAGTTCCCCGCACATCTAATTGTATCATTGGCATTGGTATTGTCGATCATTTCATCACATCCATCTATCTTATCACACCATATTTTCATCATAACAGACGCTGAAATTTGAATACTCACTTTTGAGAGCATCCTTCATCCCACTTTTTATATTTCTTGTATGTTGCGGAGTTGGAATTTGTAGATGTCATAATTTAATTCCAGGCTTTCTAGTACTCAGTTTAAGTTTATCTTTATTTTTGTCTGGTATGTATGTATGTATGTATGTATGTATGTATGTATGTATGTTTAAGTAAGTAATTAAAGCGGAAAGGAAGAGAAATATTCTGAGAAAGAAGGTAGGTAGGTAGGTATCTATCTATCTATCTAAACATACATACGATTGCCCGGAGGCTGGAAGAAAGGAGAGAAAAGAAAAGAAAAGAAAAGAACAACAGATCCAGCGATCAAATCAACTCAGGTCCAGAAAGATCCTGAGTCCCGAGTCGAGTGCCGATGATCGTGCAGATGGGATAGGTAGGTGTAGATTAGAATTGGATATGGTTAGGATAGGATAGGATAGGGTAGGGAGGTGCATCATGTACGTTTGAGTTTGGACCCTTAATTTATGTGGTTTTGTGATGGCGGGATTTATGGTGAGGTTGATAGGGATGGACTCGTGGAGAGATGTGGATGTGGATGTGGGTTTTTGAAGGTACTTGGCTATTGGAGGTTTGGTTGAGAAATTATAATCTTACAATATTTCATGAATCTCTCAGATCGGCCAGAAAAGAACAGAATAGAGCAGAACATATCCATCCCATCGTAATTCTACCTAATAAGCTATGAATGAATGGATGAATTTCTAGATTATGATGTAAATATCCTCACGGGAAGGATTCATGCATTTCATATACTACATGCATTTCACTTCACATACAGAGTACATCTACTTCATGCACTCAATCTTCCTTCCATCAAAAGGATGCAGGATGAGGCTTATAGTGGATCCGATCTTACCATTATCGTTTTATATCTATCTACTGGGTCTGGGTCACATTTCAATTGTGTCATGGGAGGATGGATATTGAATTAATTGACCAATCGGTTGAGGGATACCTACGGAGTAGTTACGTGAGTATGTGAGAATGAATGGGTTAGTAACTAGGTATTTAGTATGATGGATATGTACGCAGAAGAAAGAATCATTTTTGATGTATAATTGATAATTCGGTGAGAAATGATCATGGAGAAAGAAAGAAAGAGGAATTTTAGACGGAGAATTGCCTCGGAAAATAGACTCGGGATATTAGGCTCGGGATATTTTGAGTCGGGGAATTGATTGATCTTGGTATTATTGATGAGAATCATGATGAGGTGAGATTTGTACCCAAGTACTCTATACTCCGTACATAGGTAGGTAGGATATCTCAATCAACCGGCACGAACTTCTATATGTAGAAATAGGTATTTAGAGATATCTACTGTAACCAGAAGTCTAGACCTAATTGCAAAGCTGAGTAAAGAATTGAGAAGTTCCATATACACAGACACAGACACTATCAGCCAGCCAGACAGACAGATAGATATATAGACATAAGAATTACCCAATCCAATTAATATTTTAATAAATCACAATATCTCTCAGTCTGCCTAGAACACTTCCTTCCAAATGCTCGAGCACCAAAATCAGCGCATAGACAGATGAGAAGAAAAAGAAAAAGAAAATTCAAACATCTCTTCCCGCCCAGACTGGCGCCAAGAAAACACGCTTGTCATCGGGTCTTATTTTTCGCCTTCTCTATTCAAAAATGAAAATAATGTCAAAGAAATCTGACCATTAATATCTAAAATCGCATGATGTGTACATATTTAGGTATATGCATAGGTAGGTGTTTATTTAATTCTATGAGGTTGTTTGGGATTATGTATTTTGTGTACTTGTAAATCATCCAGTCTGATGATTCGAGAAATTTATTGTGTAGATGGAATTGTGGTGGCTAGATGTTATTTAGTTAGTTAATTATATTATTGTTGAGTTTTTATTTATTTTAACTAGATGAGGTTTAATGATAATGATAATGATGATAAGAGTAATAGTATATATCATAGAGTATCTTGGGTGATTGAATTTGGAAATTATAATAAGATCTTATAATGTATATATATTCTCTTCTCTTCCCTTCTATATCTAAAAAGATCCCATTAATTATCAATATATCCCTCAAAGACATCAAAGACATCAAAACCACACATATCAATCATACCTAGAATTTCCATCGAAACACTAGGAAGTGCAATCTGTTTATATGTATAACTAGCCATCCTTTCAAGATCGATCTAGAATCTAAATCTCTTAGTATTCTGAGTTTCAAATTTCAGGGATATATATCATGCTATGATCTAGCATTTATGCGTTGAGCGGCAGACTCTTATCATCACTATGGTGACATGATACGCTATGATATTGTATGTATGATTGATTGAGCAGGTGAATTATAATATCACATACATGTGTGCGGCTTAAAAGCTACAGACACGGCTCAACTTGCTTGCTCACAAATAAGACAAGACAAGACAAGCCTGAAGCTTGCTGACCAGTGACAACAAATGAGTCTAAAGTATATTTCTACACTGTAGACACCTAGTCATCTACTATCTCATTACACTGTATAATCTAATCAAAAAACCATAAACCTCGGTTTTTATATTCAGAGGGTATATAGCCACCTAGCTAGATATATAAGGTTACTCCGTGGTAAATCCCGACTCCGAGCCATAACAATGCATAGATAGACTCCGCTATACACGGAAACGGTGGAAAAGTAATTGATACTGTACTTACTAACCTTGAAGTACTCCATACCTAAATAGATAGATACAAACAAGCAATGACCTACAACCTGTGACCTCTGTACCTGTGACCACTGACCTCGCCTTAAAAGTTTTAAATCAGAAAGTGTGGAGAATCCTTACTCGGTATGCCGAAAAGGATAGCTAGCTGGAGTAGCTTGCTAGGAACATAAGTAAGACCTTGAGATTTGGAGAGGGGGGAAATGAAAAATGTTAAAAATAATTACGGAGTCAATGTTGGGATGTTGGGTTTGAATTGGGTTTTGTGATGGGTTATGGAGGAGAGAGAGGATCTGGCTGGTCTCGGTATGTTTCAGAGATGTGCGGTTTTTGGGATGAGGAGGGAGGGATGAGGAGAGGAGAAGGAAGAGGAGAAGGGAGAGTAAAAGGTCTAGATTTACTTTTGTGGGGTGGCTGGTGTGGATTGTGATGGGTTTGAACCGGTTTGAACGGGATTGGGGATTGTAGTGGAATACCCTATTGACTTGACAACCATATCATACCTACTGCAAATATCTACCTACCTACCTAGGTAACTCTGTTTGTAGTATATACCTCGTATTATTCACACGGAGTAGTTTCTCAAAGTCACAATCTTCGTTTATGATCAACCTTCTGTTTCCGTTTGCGCGCGGCTCATTCATATTATATCCATATATCCACATATCTATCTACAGAGTATCCACAGATTAATTCAAGGGGGTCAATTAATCGGTCAATTATCACGATGTCAGTACAGAGCATTTAATAACTAATATCAAATATTACTTGATACTAAATACTAGATACCTACCTATACCTACCAAGTATAGAATGTAGTAAGTACCTAGATAGTTATTATCTAACAAACCATCAATCTCCAAACCTCACCCACACCACCATTCATTCCCGATCGAAACCCCTTGTCATTATCTTATTCCCGTATATTACAATACCTACCTACCTATACGGAGATGATGGATAAATATCAAATACTACATCCCAAATATGTATAACATACATAAGATGGCGAAGGTACCTAGTAGGTATTTATTAGAATTCGAATAGAATGGGATGGAATAAAGGGAGGATATACAGAGTATGTACTAGGTATGCATGTATGTATGTATGTATGTATGGAATGTTGGTGTGGTACATTGCAGTGTTGTATTCTGGATATTGGCCGTGGTAAATACTACCACACTGCTACTGTACACCAATTCTGTATCAAGTAGCTTGGTTACCTAATAAATATCATGAATCTGATCTGATGGAGAAATAGGAGGATTGGAATAGAATTTGAGTATGTATGTAGAAGACTTTTCTATCTTTTTGATTCTATGATAGCCCTTTCTTTCTTTCTTTCTTTCATTGCCATTATTATAAGATCATCACTATCTAGGTACCTATATAAACTATTTATCTACAAATAAAAACCCACAAACATACACCAATATCACCCACCTGAAAATAATCAAATAATCCCGCACGCAACCATCAAAAAAATCTCTCTCATTCATCAATCTCACCGCATCATACATGCAATCAATATCTCCGGAACCTTTTAATTCCCATCTCATCTTCCCCACCCAAAAAAATTCCAATTCTTCCAAGAAAGGAAAACTTCTAGAAGACGCCACGCGTGTTCTTTTATTTCTTCTATCGTTTGTTGTCATTCTTCTAGCGTATTACTTTGTCGGGTTCATCGAGGTTGGTTGGAATCCTGGTTTGTTTGTTTGTAAGATCTTAGATCTTACTTTTTTTTATTCTTTTTTTTATGCAATCTCGAATTTTTCGCTGTTATAGTAGATAAATAGGTAGGTAGACAGGTAATCATGAGTGGCGAGGTTGTTCTCGGTCTCGGTGTCGGTGGCCGGTTATTGTGTACACTGTATAGAGTCTGGGAGGTAGGGAAGAGGAGGAGAGAAGAGAGTAGGGTTTCGGGGTGGCCGGTTTGTGGTGGGGATGGATGGGATGGGATGGATGGAGTGACCTTGAGGTTGGATTGTGAGGATGAGGATGGTCAGGCTGACTGGCTGGCCTTGACGATTATTCGGGTTTTTGGGTTGGGATTTGGGTTTGGGTTTGGGAATTGCATTCGAATTTAACTGATTGATTAATTGATTGATTAATTAATCGAATAGATATATATAATCTTACCATCGACAATATCTTTTTACCTTCAACGTTTCACTTTAGCCACCTGCAATAATGCATGAACAAAAAGCAGATGCTAGAAGGCTGAAAAAGTACCTACCCTCTCTCTATACACTAAACTCCACAACGGCGCCAAAAACCAAATAGAAGGTTTAGAGAAGATAACTCGGCGCTTACTTTCACCTCAGCTCTATACTCTCCTCTATAGCTGTGCATTCTAACCGGTCCGTTTGTCATTAATAGACATTTATATGCGTATTATTTAAATATCTAAATATATACCAACGATTTGAATCTAGGTCTTTATATTAATTATATAGTCATCTTTTATTATTTATTACTTATTATAATTCTTGATTTATAATAAAGAGAATAAAAATGTTACGACGGGTAACATATTTCCATATCACATGACTAATCACAGGATCAGAGCTATCATGTGACCGGCTCTAATCAATCCAGTTAGAGCCTCTAGAGCCAGAACACGAAGGTCTACATAATCAAGATGGATTTCCTTTGTATAGAGCTTCGTGCTCAAGATCAATCATTTAGTATACTCTACTATTAGTTACGAATTGCATATCATTATTGTCATTACTTTAAGTCCCTGCTTGACGCCTAGTTATAAACTACCTCGAGAGCCTAGAGCACTTCCACGTGATCTAGACGGCAAACCTCGTAACATAATCCTAATGGTGAATCGTGACAAGAATATTATTATTTTTAATTTATATATAGAATAATAATAATAAAAATATTATATTTGAGAAGATCTAGATTTATAAAAGTGATATTTAATAATCAATTATATATCTATTGAATATTATTTATTTATTTCAAATACTTAAAAGTTAAGTCTTTTATATTGATCATGTTGTCACGATTCACCATTAGGATTAGTGTCCTGAGGCAAATAGAAGGATCACGTGATGGATAGACTGGATAGACCAGTCTATCCAGGCTATCCAATAGCATTCAGAAGTATATAGTCAGAGTAGTTTCATAGTATAGGAGCTTCGTGCTCAAATTAGTTATCAATTAGTTTACCTACATTCTACTTGATCTAGTAACCAATTCGCTTCCAAGTGAATACCAGTGATAAAGCCTTAACCCATAACTACCAACCAGACGAAACCGTAGGCAGCCGCTGCCTCCAGTACAGTATCGTTACACATGTATAGATTAAAGTTATAAAATAAAAAATAAAGAATGATTATAGGATGTTTGAGCTTATCAAGAGGATTGGATCGGGGTAGAAGTTTATAGATTGGGGATGGGGGAATGGGGATGGGGAGGGGTTATTTGAGATGTTTGGTAGTTGTATGAAGCTTGATGTATGAAGTTTGGTTGGTCGTTTTATTGATATGGTAGGATATGATAGGATAGGATAGGAAAGATTAAAATGAGGGGTTAAGGTACTCTGTAGAGTATCTAATCTGGAACCGGAAACGGAGGATACGGGGGCGTACAAGTATTATATAGGTAGGTTTTTGATGTATAGAGATATATATTACATATATCCAACATATAGACAATAAAGAAAAACAAGGTATAAAAAAGAAGCATAGGATCTCAGTATACCTAAGTACCTAGTAAGAAAAAGGTCAAGAAAGGTGAATATTAACTAATTGAAAATGAATGGATATATTGATCTGTAGTTGCCGATCTACCTTCTGGAGATGGTTAGGGTTTGTGTTACGGTTACAGTTACAGATGCATACAGTACTATCTATCTATGGATGACATGGTATGGTGTTTGGAGTGGTTTGAAGAATGGAATGGATGGAAGGAAAAGATGCCGGTGTTACGTGCATGGGAAGAATTTGGTTTATTGGGTTGGATTGGGTTGTGCGGGTTAGGGGGGTTGTTGACGATGTCTGGATGGATGGATATCTTGATTTTGGGGTTTGGGGGAAGTTAATGATGGGGTTATGTTGTGTGGAAGATGTATATATGCAGCGGTTGATTGATGATGAAGCTGGAAAGACATGATGATGATGATGATGATGAATGATCCAACTCAATGGTTATGATTTACCATC